GTAGAGCGCTCGCCTTGAGTTGAAGAGCTGAGGGACAACGCCCAGGCCCAGAGTTCAAGCCCCACGACCGACAAAAAAAAAAAAAAAAAAAAAAACTATATATGGAGATACGAATCTCACAGACTTTCCTGCCTGATCCTCAGATCTCTGCCACCTGAGAAGCTAGGATTATAGGCGTGAGCCTATAATGCCCAGGTAGGATTGCTTACTTTATACCAAGTTATTTCTCTTATGGTAAAAAATGCTACCTGTGTGGATGATTGATACCCAACACACAGGGGTGGAATCAAGGATGAGAATGAACTCTTCATGATTATTTTTAATTTAATATGTAATCTTTCAGTTATTAAATATATTTCTCAATTACAAGATCCTGTTAGATTTTCCCTTAATTTCTTTTGTGTGTGTGTGTGTGTGTGTGTGTGTGTGTGTGTGTGGAATTCTAGTACTGGGTCTTGGACTCAAGACTGAGGCTCTGTTTCTTAGTTTTGTTTTGTTTTTTCTTAAGACTGGCACTAGGAGCTGGGAAGGTGGCTCAGTGATAGTGTTTGCTTTGCATGCATGAGTCCTGGGTTCAATTCCTCAGCACCACATAAGCAGAAAAAAGCCGGAAGTGGTGCTGTGGCTCAAGTGGTCGAGCGCTAGCCTTGAGCTAAAATGCTGAGGGACAGCACCCAGGCCCAAAGTTCAGGCCCCACAACCAACCAAAAAAAAAGACTGGCACTCTACCCATTGAGTAACAGCTTCACTTGCAGCATTTTTCTGGTTACTTAGAAATAAGTCTTAGAAACATTCCTGCTATGGCTGACTTTGAAACTATTCCTCAGATCTCAGCATCCTGAGTAGCTGTGATTACAGGCGTGAACCACTGTTGTCTGGCTTCTATTAACTTTTTGCAGTTAAAAAAATTACATTAAGCCTTCACAAGGATTGTAAAGTATGTTGATTTAAGAAATGTTATATTGTCGAAAAAGAATACACTTGTGGCTCATGCCTGTAATCCTAGTTACTCAGGAGGCTGAGATCTGAGGATCGAAGTTCAAGCCAGCCCAGGCAGGAAAGTTCGTGAAACTCTTATCTCTAATAAACCACTCAGAAAACCAGAAGTGGTGCTGTGGCTCAAGTGGTAGAGCGCTCGCCTTAGCCGAAGAGCTGAGGGACAGTGCCCAAGCCCAGAGTTCAAGCCCCACAACTGACCAAAAAAAAAAAAAATTAAGTTGAACAAACACAACTATGATTATTAGACATTATTAAAAGCAAATCTGTACATCATGGGATTTTAATCTTTTTCTTGTGTTGTTACTAGCGCTTGATGTTCTTGCTTAGCTTTTTCACTCAAGGCTGGCACTTTACCATTTCAGCCACAGCTTCACTTATAGCTGCTTGCTGATTAATTGGTGATCAGAGTCTTAGAGACTTTGATTTTTTTTTTTTTTTTTTTTTGTTCATCAGTCATGTGGCTTGAACTCGGGGCCTGGGTACTGTTCCTGAGCTCTTTTGCTCACTTTGAGCTCCAGCTCCACTTTCTGAGTCTTGTCTGGACTGGCTTTAAACCTTGATCCTCAGCCTGCCGAGCAGCTAGCATTATAGGTGTGAGCCACTGGTGCCTGGCTAAAAATGTCTAATTCATAAATAAGTCTGTAGCTTCTCTACTCATCTTTTGGTTTGTAAGCACACTAGTTTGGACTCAATTTCCCAGGAAATCTGATATTAGAAAAGAAAACATTTATTCTATGAAGGATTTAGGATGTTTTAGATTTAGAAACATGTTAAATTTAGAATTCAAGGTGCTCATCTTGTGGGTTTTGTTTTGTTTTTTAGATTTTGTTGTCCTGGCAATATGGGGTATGCTGGCTGTCAGTGGAATTACATTACAGATTCGAAGAGAAAGAGGGCAGCCATTTTTCCCTCCCCACCCTTACAAGCTGTGGAAGCAAGAGAGAGAACGCAGAGTAACAAACATCCTGGACCCCAGCCACCACATCCCTCCACTGAGAAACAGATTCTGGGGCCAATTAACCCAAATCAAAGAGTTCTTTCAGAAGCAACAGCCAGCTGGAGAGAGGACACCTCTGCTTCTGTAGACAGCACTGCACCTGCTCAGCCTGCCACACCGGGAGCTCTGATGCTCCAGTTTTTTCTCCCCTGAAGTCCAATGCAGGAATAAGGCTGTATATAATACCGTAGTGACCTTGCTGACACAGTGAGGGTACACTGGGGTATCAGGAGAGTCTAAATGAGAGAATGAGAAAGATGAAAAAAAATCACCTTCTGTCTTATAAATATATGATCAACACATTCCATTAAATGGCTAATACTAAAAAAAAACAAAAACCTGGTTCTTCTGAAAAGCCTAGAATACACACACACATAAACACACACATATTTGTTGTTTTGGTTCTGGTTCTGTGGGCCTCACACTCTGCCTTGGCTTTTTTGCTCAAAGTTGCCATTCTACCACTTGAGCCACACCTCCAGTGTTTGGTTTTGCTGATTATTTGGAAATAAGAGGTTCATGTCTGGGCTGGCTTCAAACCAGGATCCTTAGTTCTAACTAAGCCTCCTGAGTTACTAGGATTATGGACATGAACCACCAACACCTGGCTGCTGCTTTTTTTTTTTTTAATCTTGAATAGTTCTCTCTTGAGTCTCTATAAACATGAGGATGTGGGGTGTGGAGGGTGGGGGTTACTGCCATATTTGCCTCTGGAGATTTAGGGGTCCAGTACTTGCTTCTTAACCATCTGATTATAGAAAGAGAAGTAACCTATTTTCTTACTAAAAGCAGTCTGATACTTCTTTTCAACTCAGTACTTTTTTTCTTTGTAACTATTTTTTAATTATGGCAAAATGCACAGAATTTAGTTTCAGGTGTCCAATTTATGCCAGTATTGAGGCTTGAATTCAGGACTTCATACTCTTGCTTGGCTTTTCTGTTTTTTGTTTTTGTTTTTTTTGGTCATGGGGCCTGAACCCTGGGCCTGGGCACTGTCCTTCAGCTCTTCAGCTCAAGGCGAGTGCTCTACCACTTGAGCCATAGCACCACTTCCAGCTTTATTCTGCTTATATGGTGCTGAGGAATCAAACCCAAGGCCTCATGCATGCAAGGCAAGCACTCTACCACTGAGCCACCTTCCCAGCCCTTGCTTGGCTTTTCTGCTCAAGGCTGGTACCTACTATTTGAGCCATACCTCTACTTCTGTTTTATTGCTGGTTAATTGAGAATAAGAGACCATCATAGACTTTCTGGGCTGGACTGGCTTTGAACTGAGATCCTCAGATCCCAGTCTTATAAGTAACCAGAATCCTGGCTGTGTGTGTATTTTAATTATTTATTTATTTATTTATTTTGTCGATTGTGGAGCTTGAACTCTGGGCCTGGGCACTGTCCTTCAACTCTTCAACTCAAGGCAAGCACTCTACCACTTGAGCCACAGCTCCACTTCTGGTTTTCTGGTGGTTTATTGGAGCTAAGAGTCTCAGACTTTCCTGCCGGGGCTAGCTTTGAACTGCGATCCTCAGATCTCAGCCTTCTGAGTAGCTAGGATTACAAGTGTGAGCCACCAGCGCCCAGCCATATGTATTTTTTTCTTTTTCGTGTGTGTGTGTATGTGTGTGTGTGTGTGTGTGTGTGTGTGTGTGTGTGTGTGTGTGTTCATACTGGGGCTTGAACTCAGGACCTGGGTGATATCCCTGAGCTTTTGTGCGCAAAGGTTGTATTATATCACTTGAGCCACAGCTCCACTTGAAGCTTTATGCTGGGCAATTGGAGAAACTCAGATCTCAGCCTCTTGAATGGTTAGGATTGCAGGTGTGAGTCACCAACACCCAACCTTGTATGGCTTCATAAGAATTGCTTTTGTGTAATTAAAGCCTTTTTGCCAACTGTGTTTAGAGGGATTAGGGAGCAGACAGTGGAGACTAAAGTAGTGACTGCTCTTAATCAGGAACACTGGGTTCTTTTTTTTTTTTTTTGGGTCCGGTCGTGGGGCCTGAACTCTGGGCCTGGGCGCTATCCCTCAGCTCTTCAGCTCAAGGCTAGTGCTCTACCACTTGAGCCACAGCACCACTTCCGGCCTTTTTCTTTTTGCTTATGTGGTGCTGAGGAATCAAACCCAGGGCCTCAGGCATGCAAGGCAAGCACTCTACCACTGAGCCACCTTCCCAGCCCCAACACTGGGTTCTTCTGTAGGATTCTCTTACTGTTTTGGTTTGGTTTTATGCTGCTCCTGGGGCTTGAACTCAGGGCCCGGGCATTCTCTGAGGTTTTTTTGTGTGTGTGTGTGAAAATACGGTATACAAAGGGGTTACAATTACATGGGCAAGGTAAAGAGTACATTTCTTTTTTTTTTTTTTTTTTGGTCCAGTCGTGGGCCCTGAACTCTGGGCCTGGGCGCTGCCCCTCAGCTCTTCAGCTCAAGGCTAGCGCTCTACCACTTGAGCCACAGCACCACTTCCGGTACATTTCTTATCAAGCATTGTTGATACAGTGAAAACAGGGCTTATACTGTGGGGGAGGGACAAAAAGCAACAAAGAAATCATCTTATAAATATGTTAGAAAAAATCACAAGAAAGAGAAACCATTTGAATCCTTATCTTGGGGTTCCTTTCGCCTAACATCAACTTATCTGACCATTTCTGCTTGTCTCAGACATATACTAGTTATTGCAAATAAGGGAAACCATGGGACCTATGTTTCTTTGGGCTTGGCTTACTTCACTTAAAATAATTTTTTGCAAGTCTTTCCATTTCTTAACAAATAGGTTAATGTCATTCTTTCTGATGGAGGCAGAAAATTCCATTGTGTATATATACCACATTTTTTTGATCCATTCATCTGCTGAGGGGCATCTGGGTTGGTTCCATATCTTAACTACGGTAAATAATGCTGCAATAAACATAGTTATGCTGGTAGCTTTAGTATGGTCTTGTTTGTGACCATTTGGGTAAATACCCAAAAGTGGAATTGATTGGTCATAGGGGAGCTCTATGTGGAGTCTTTTTTTTTTTTAATCCTTCAAACTTTTATTTAAATGCAATGATCAGGGCAATTTTAGATCTTGTTAAAAGCAGCCACTCCATGGACTGCACGTAGTCCTCAAAAGCAGTGATCTGTTCCTCCAGCATGTCTGTTCCTACTTTATCATCTTCCACTACACATTGTATTTGAAGCTTCTTAATTCCATATCCCACTGGAACCAGTTTAGAGGACCCCCAGACCAAGCCATCTGCTTGACTGCTTCGGACACACTCCTCTAATTTTGCCATATCTGTCTCATCATCCCAGGGCTTCACATCTAGTAAGATGGAAGACTTGGCAACAAGCACAGGTTCTATAAGAGTAAAAACAGCATTATTTATGTAGTAAATTTTTACCTTATGTGGAGTCTTTTGCGGAACCTCCATACTGCTTTCCAAAGTGATTGAACAAGTTTACACTCCCACCAACAATGCAGTAGGGTTCCCTTCTGGCCACATCCCCTCCAGCATCTGTTGTTATTAGAGTTCTTGATTTTAGCTATTGTAACTGGAGTGAGGTGGTATCTCAATGTTGTTTTGATTTGCATGTCTTTTATGGCTAGGGAGGTTGAGCATTTCTTCATGTGTCTATTGGCCATTCTTATTTCCTCTTCAGAGAAGTTTCTCTTTAAGTCTTTAGCCCACTTACTAAATATATGGAACACTTCACGAATTTACGTGTCATCCTTGCCCAGGGACCATGCTAATCTCCTCTGTATCGTTCCAATTTTAGTATATGTGCTGCCGAAGTGAGCACTGTCCCTGAGTTATTGTGCTCAAGGCTAGCACTCTACCACTTGAGCTATAGCATCACTTTTGGCTTTTCGCTGATCAATAGGAGATAAAAATCTCCCGGCCTTTCCTACCCAGGCTGGCTTAGAACCTCTGTCCTCAGATCACAGTCTCCTGAGTAGTTAGATTACAAGCATGAGCTATGGTGCCTTACGGATTCTCAATTTTGATGGATGCTGTGGGTACGCCTCCCCTTTTCCTCACTTGTGTGACATCTGGGTTGTTAGCTAATTTCTCTGACATGCCTGAGTGATGCTGAGGTCAGTCATGACCATAGTATGCACTTCTGTAAAAACAACTACTACTTAACTGATGCCATTTTTTAAGTCTCTTCAAAGTATGTTAGATTCTCGCAGTTTCAGGTAACTAGAACAATCTTCAACTTCTGTTTTTTAGAAGGCTTGGGAAGGCTGGGTGCAGGTGGCTCATATCTGTAATCCTAGTTACATGGTACAAATCCATCCTGGGCAGGAAAGTCCATGAGACTTGTATCTCCAAAAAACTACCCAGAAAATGGTGCTGTGGCTCAAGTGGTAGAGGCTCTAGTCTTGAGCACAAAGAGGCTCCAGGACAGCACTGAGGTCCTGAGTTCAAGCTCCAGGACTGGCAAAAAAATGGGAAGTATAATATAAATGAATGAATGAACTAATTTTGCTTTGACGTGTTATATGCTATTCATTTATTCTTTATTTTGGTATTTCCTGTAAGTGCGGTAACCAAAAGTATTATTAAAAGATAAATTTACTAGAGACTCTGACTTCTACCATCTTTATTTTTCAAAAATTATCTTTAGTTGTTTAAAGTGGTTTCAATTCAACGTGTCAATTTGTAACACTGCATCTTGATCAGTGTCATCCCTTCCATCATTTCTCCCCATCTTTCCCAATCCCACCCCACCTATCCCCTGTTTTCATATATGTATATGGACTATTCCGTGTATATTTGTCCAATCTTTCTTCATTCATCTGTTTGACTCCTATTGACCTCCAGTCCTGACAAAACATGTTTCAGCTTCCTAGTTTTACTATTTTTTGTACATTCTGAGTTCCTGGATGATTCTCTGTACTGTTTGAATGAAGTGCCAGTCAAGATTGTGAAAGAATATACTTTATTGGAAGAAGGTACATTATTTAAACATTTTAATAATAATTTGTAATAAAATTCAGTGTATTTTAAAAATAAATTCCTATTGTATTTTTATTTATTTATTTTGCCAGTCCTGGGGCTTGCACTTGGGGCCTGGGCACTATCCCTGAGCTTTTGCTCAAGGCCCGGTACAGCCTTGAGCCACAGGGCCACTTCTGGCTTTTTCTGTTTATGTGGTACCGAGGAATCAAACACAGAGCTTCAGTACATGCTAGGCAAGCAACTCTACTACTAAACCACATTCCCAGCCCCATTTATTTATTTGTTTGTTTGTTTATTTAGTCAGTCACTCTTTTGCTCACTTTGAGCTCCAGCTCCACTTTCTGAGTCTTGTCTGGACTGGCTTTAAACCTTGATCCTCAGCCTGCCGAGCAGCTAGCATTATAGGTGTGAGCCACTGGTGCCTGGCTAAAAATGTCTAATTCATAAATAAGTCTGTAGCTTCTCTACTCATCTTTTGGTTTGTAAGCACTCTAGTTTGGACTCAATTTCCCAGGAAATCTGATATTAGAAAAGAAAACATTTATTCTATGAAGGATTTAGGATGTTTTAGATTTAGAAACATGTTAAATTTAGAATTCAAGGTGCTCATCTTGTGGGTTTTGTTTTGTTTTTTAGATTTTGTTGTCCTGGCAATATGGGGTATGCTGGCTGTCAGTGACATCAGGGCCTAGATCCTGCTTTTTCACCTAAGGATAGTGATATACTACTTGATTTCATACTAATGGGCACTCCTCCACTTCCAGCTTTTTGCTGGTTGTTTCCCAGATTTACCTGCCAGAATGGCTTTGAATCTTGATTCTCAGATCTCCGCCTCCTGAGTAGCTAGGATTATAGGAAACAAGCTGTTTTTTACTTATAACCATTAAAAACCTAATAGTTTTAGTAATAAAAGCCTAATAGTAGATCTTTTATTTTTCATTGAATATAAAATTTTGGAAGTCATTTGGTATCAAAATGGGCACTGGTGGCTCATGACTATAATCATATCATCTTGGGAGGCTGAGATTTGAGATCAGAAGTTCACAGCCAGCCCAGGAAGACAAATCTTAAGACTCTTCAACTGAGCAGAAAAAAAGCCAGAAGTGGAGGTGTGGCTCAAGTGGTTGGGTGGCAGCCTCAAGCAAATAAGCCAATTGAGAACACAAGGCTCAGAATTCAGGCCCCAGAATTGAAATGGAAGACTATTAAGTTGAACAGAAAGCACTTTATCTGTGTTTGTATACAACTGTTGTTTTTAGAACTATAAAGATAAATACATAATGTATGCATTTCTTTGGCGACTGTAACAAATTACTACCAGGCTGAGTAAAACAATTTTTTCTCAAAGTTCTGGAGGCCATTAGTTTGAAATCAAGCAGAGCCAGTTAGTTCTAAGAGCTGAGCAATGTATACTCCATGTCCTTCTCGTAGTTTCTAGTGGCCAGTCTTAAGAATTCCTTGTCCTACATAAGTATCTCTAGCTTCATAAGGTTTTGTTTCCAATATTCTCTTTATTATGAGGATACCAGCCACAGTGGGTCTCTCCTGAAATTCAGAATAATCTCATCTTGAGATCCTTAATTATAGCTACAAAGATCCTACTTCCAAATATGGTCACATTTCCAGATACAGTGGGTTAGGATATGGGCTTACTACCTGGTATGGGGGAAGGACTATTTAACCCAGTATAGATGATGAAAGCTGCATGATCAGCAATACATTGCTGGACAATTCCTAAGAAATACAATGAAGAGGGCTTGGAAGTTTGGCTCAGGTGGTAAAGCAAAAGCCAAGGAGTAAAAGCCAAAGTTTTAGAAGAAACCATCCTTTCTCTCTCTCTCTCTCAAAAAAAAATATACACAAATAAAAATTGTTACTAAGTACTAGTGTTACAGAGAAAATAGACTTGAAAAATAAACTGCATGAAAGCATGTAAATACTTTTCAAACTAAAGTGAAGACCAGGCCAGTTTTAATTATTCATCTTTATTGGCAAAACAGGATTGTACACAGTTATATATGAAGTACATACTAAGACATAAATTTAAGATTGTTTATTTAAAACAAAAATGGATGTAAATTTTGCTACACAACAAAGCAAATATCTTAACACTCAAGACCTTCAGATTATCTAGAAGCAAGACGAACAAGAATTAATTAACTCAACTTGTTTGTAAAAAAAAATTACTAAGTAATGTTTAATAATAGAGCTGCCACATCAAATTGTCTCAGACTTGATCTCAATATGTAGCTTATTTTCTTTAATTTTTACTTGTGTAAAATCTATTTGAATGACAATAAATAAATACTTTCCTAAACACCCAACAGAGAAGTTTGAAAATAAAAAATTCACTTATAAACTATTAAGGCCTCTGAATGAATTTATTTAATAATTTGGTCCATTAGCCCTTTTCTGCTCATTCTGCCCAAATTTATCTCATTAACTCCAAATCTGAGAAAACATCAGAAGTGAGAAGTTTCAATTTTACCAATATATGAAATTATACATAAGAACAACCATGTGAAGAAGTATCTAATTTAACAAATTCTATGTGCAAAAGTAGAATATTTTACTTGTGGTAACTTTAACATGTATATTTAATCATATTTGATATTCTTTTATTCTAATGGCTATCTTAAAAAGTTAGGTTTCAAATGGTAGTAAAGCACATTTATATCAATTTACTGTACACATGTTTAAAAATGAGACAAATCCTTATAAATCCAGATTTCTACTCTTCCTTCCCACGTGAAAGGTTTTTTATTTCCCCCGTTGGGTTCTGGGCCTTGAACTCAGGGCCTGGGTGCTGCCCCTGAGCCTCTTTATATTCAAGCCTAGTGCTATACAACTTGAAGCCACTGTGTTACTTCTAGCTTTTTCTGAGCAGTTTACTGAAGAATTTCACAGACTTTCCTGCCCTGGCTGGCTTTGAACTGTGATCCTTAGATCTCAGCCTCCTGAGTAGCTAAGATTACAGGTGTGAGTCTGGCTCCCACATAAAAGGTTTAAGAAAAATCTTGCAGGTTATAAGGACCAGATGGAACTTAAAATAGACTCAGAAACTTAAAAAAAAAATCTATTTTTTTCTCTATCTTAAGAATAATTACTTTAAAAAAAATGGGGGTGGGGAAAGGTTCCAGAAACCTTAGGAGTTCTGAGTTTACTTTGAAATAATCACACCCACCTTGCTTTCTCAAATATTTCAACTCTATTGGCTAAATGAACTAATATACTTAAATAATCAGAAGAGAAAAATCATGTTTTGTTAGTTGTGGGGCTTGAGCTCAGGGCCTGAGCAAAAAATCATATTTTCATTAACTGAGAACCAAAACTTTTTCAAAGGAGTAGTTGAACCTACTAAATATGTCTACTGTAAGACCTTCTTTCTTAGAAAGTAATATTCCTTCTCTTTCATTCTTAAAATGATAATTCGTACAATTAAGTCATGGACAACTATTAGCTAAGTATCAGTGATAGTAAATTATCTAGAAGTAAATTACAAAGATTCATGGTATATATTTGTTGATTTGACAAATGGATAAAATGTAGTCTGAGGATTTTCCATTAAAAAAAAAAAAAACACAACAAAATCATTTATTTTAAATTGAGATAATTCTATAAAATTCCAAACATTTATTGGGAGTATTTGTTTATCTGCAAGTAATCTAGAATAGTAACATCACTGTTACTTTTGAGAACTGCCTTGCTATATAGGTTCAACAGTCACTGTGAACATGTTTCATTGGGCCACCATACATTAGATCAGTTCCTGCTTCTCAAAATACATTAGATCAGTTTCTGCTTCTCAATTATGTTCTGGAATAAGTTATGATAATTAACTATACTTTTTGTTGTTGCTACTGTTTTTTTTTTTTTGGTGGGGGAGAGTCCAGTACTGGAGCCTGGATGCTGCCCCTTACTTCATTCAAGACTGGTGCTCTACTTTTTTAGCTACAACTCCACTTCCATTTTTTGCTGGTTAATTGGAGATAAAGAGTCTTAACAGATTTTGTTGCCCAGCCTTGCTTCAAACCACGACCCTCAGATCCCAACTTCCTGAGTACCTAGGATTACAGGTGGAAGTCACTGGCGCCTGGCTTCTGTTGCTGTCATCTCTTTAACTAGGGAACTATATTTACTATAGATGGGAAAAAGGATTAATTGAAATTTGAGTTTTGTGTCATTCATTCATTCACAGGCCAGTTCTAGTGACTAATGAAGCTGTGCCCGAGGCTCCAGACCTGGCACCCCTCAGCTCTTCCGCAGGCTCAGGTCACTACTGGTCACCAAGGCTGACAAAGATGTGCTGTCAGATACATCCTCCTTCCTCAAGTTCAGAAATGATTCTCGAGTGATCTGAAGAATCTCTCTCAAGCCTTTGTTTTCTTGCTGTAAGGAGGCAAGGGAAAACAAAGATGGTCACCACTTAGCTACAAGTGGAAGACAGACAACTATTTTAAGAAGCTAAACATATACAGGCAAAACACATAAAAACCAAGTCCTGTAACTGGTATTGATAGGCAATATAGGCAATTGTGTGTGTGTGTGTGTGTGTGTGTGCGTGTGCGTGTGTGTGCGTGCGTGTTAGTACTGAGGTTTGAACTCAGGATCTGAGTACTATCCCTTTTGCTCTGCCACTTGAACCATACCTCTACTTGCAGCTGGAGATAAAAGTTTCCTGGACTTTCCTGCCCAAGCTGGCTTTGAATTGTGATTCTTAGATCTTAGCCTCCCAAATTAGCTAGAATTACAGGTGTGAGCCACTGACACCCATCTCAAACTCTCTTGTTATATATACACATGTAACTGGATAACAAATTGTAGTATTTGAATGTACAAATATAGCAGAGAAGAAGAAAAGAACACGTGTATTTATATAAACTCATAATGACAGGCAATGATATCCTGTGACTCGAACCTCTCCATATATCACTACTTTTCAGGATAGCACTAAATGTGTTTCCTTCACTAGAATTTTGACAGCAATAGAACTGGCTGAATAGGTGATTTTTTTTTTTTTTTGGTTAGTCATGGGACTTGAACTCTCTCTCTCTCACCATTTTGTCTGTGATTTCCCTTCCTAAGTTTCAATGACAGAAAGCAGGGATTAGCAAGCCATGTGGCCTGAAGCCTGTCTCCCAGAATTTAATTTTACTGGAACACAGTAATCCCTATTTGATTTTGTGTCTGCTTTCAAATTACAGTGGCAGAACGAAGCCAAGTATAAACACTCTAAGGGCTTGAACTTAGGTTCTGGTGCTGTCCTTTAGCTTTTCCACCAAAGTCTGGAGCTCTACTAGTTGAGCCACACCTCTACTCCCAACTTTTTACTGCTGAATGGGAGATAAGAGTTGCTTAGATGTTTCTGCTTGGGCCGGCTTCAAACTACAATTCTTAGCCTCCTAAGTGCTACAATTACAGGCATGAGCCACCAGCACCTAGGTTTAAAATGAAACTCTTTGGTGGGTCATGGGGCTTGAACTCTTGGCCTGGGCCCTGTCCCTCAGTTTTTCAGCTCAAGACTAGTGCTCTGCCACTTGAGCCACAGCACCACTTCCAGTTTTCTGTGAGTAATTGGAGATAAGAGTCTCATGGGCTTTCCTGCCTGGGCTGGCTTTGAACTGTGATCCTCAGATCTCAGTCTCCTGAGCAGCTAGGATGACAGGCATGAGCCACCTGCACCTGGCCTTTGTTTTTTTGTTTGTTTTTTGTCAGTTGTGGGGCCTGAACTCTGGGCTTGGGCACTGTCCCTGAGCTCTTCAGCTCAAGGCTAAAGCTCTACCACTTGATCCACAGTACCACTTCTGGCTTTTTCTGCTTCTGTGGTGCTGAGGAATCGAACCCAGAGCCTCATGCATGCAAGGCAAGCACTCTACCACTGATCCACCTTCCCAGCCCTCAGATTAGGGTTTGTATAGTCAGAAAAATCAGTGTACAAAACACATTAGTTGACTAAAAATTATGCATTTGAGCCAAGCGCTGGTGGCTCATGCCTGTAATCCTAGCTACTTAGGAGGCTGAGATCTGAGGATCACGGTTCAAAGCCAGTAGGAAAGTATGTATGAATAAACCACTCAGAAAACCAGAAGTGGTACTGTGGGCCAGCCTGGTGGCTCACACCTGTAATCCTAGCTACTCAGGAGGCTGAGATCTAAGGATCTTGGTTCAAAGCCAGCCTGGGCAGGAGAGACTGTGAGACGCCTATCTCCAATAAACCACCAGAAAACCAGAAGTGGCACTGTAGCTCAAGTGCTAGAGCACTTGCCTTGAGCTGAAGAGCTGAGGGACAGTGCCCAGGCCCAGAGTTCAAGCCCCACTGCCGACCAAAAAAAAAAAAAGAAGTGGTACTGTGGCTCAAGCTGCAGAGCGCTAGCCTTGAGCTGAAGAGCTGAGGGACAGCATTCAAACCCAGAATTCAAGCCCTATGAGTGACAAAAAACAATAACAGCAACAACAAAAAACCTCTGTGTCATCATGATTTTTTTTTTTTCTTTGCCAGTCCTGGAGCTTGAACTCAAGGTCTGAGTACTATCCTTGTGCCTCTCTGTGCTCAAGGCTAGTGTTCTACCACTTGAGCCACAGCACCACTTCTGGCCTTTTCTGTTTATGTGGTGCTGAGGAATTGAACCCAGGGCCTCAAGCATGTGAGGCAAGCACTCTACCACTGAGCTACATTCCCAGCCACGTCATCATGATTTAACAGACTAAAAAATTATAAACTGTGCTAGGTATAAGTATCTCATACCTATAAATACTAGGTACTAAAGAAGCTGAGATTTGAGGATAAGATTTGAAATCAGTCCAGGCAGGAAAGTCCATGCAATTCTTATACCCCAATTAACCATCAAACATCCAGAAGTAGAGATGTGGCTCAAGTGGTAGAGGACTAGCCATGAGCAAAAAAGCATAAGGACACAACACCCAGGCTGAGTCCAAGCCCCAGGACTGGCCCATATACCCACATTCATACTCGCCCACCAACACACAAATTTACACATTGAAACTGTACATTTACCTAGTAAGAAAAGCAATATACAAAAAAAAAAAAAAAAAATCAACATTCTTCTCCCCCCCTCCCCCCCCACCACAAAGTGACATATGTCTTTACTATCATGTCCAGATGGGATGTGAGGGAAGGCAGAGGTGGGGGTGGGAGGGGGACCGGAAAGATTGTAAGCTAATGACTCCATGTCTCTGAACTATAGATTCTCCTGTGGAGTGGTATACTGTAAGTTACTAATGATCCTAGACTCCTGCATTGCTATAGAATGGTCTGACATGAATATATAATCTCCGATTAAGGAAAAGATTCCTCCATACACCTGAAGAGTGCGAATCTTACAAGATGGAATCTGTTTCCTGGTATGTCTATATGTGGACAGTTATCACCTACACTTGGAATTAAAAACTTACTTCGAGTTGGAATATCCGTTCTTGTTCCTGGCAACCTTGCTTCTCATCAATTTCAATGGCTTTCCTCATTACTGCTGCCATTTCAGTTATCTGGTCAACATGTGCCTGTAACTCCTGAAAGCAAAGGTTGGGAGTTGGGAATCAGTACATCAGCGATATTTTACTATTCTGGTTTCTGGATCCCTTCCATATAATTACTAAAATCTGTACTATCAGTGAACACAAATGGGATAGTCAGATCACAACAAAGCTGGATGACCATAGTACCTTAGAAGTTAAATTCATTAGGATAGAATTAAGGATAAGCAGCACAATATAACTAAACCAAATAGCAAGAAACTGACTCATTTCACATTTCTCATCACAACGAGGAACAACATTTTCTTTGTCATACTATGACACTATTATTGGTCCAAGCAAGACAAACTTGACACATTCAGTCTTTCTTCCCTGAAGCCTTCACAATGTACAAAATCTAAGCCAGTCTGGAACCATCGCTAGAACATCCTCCTCCTTCAGAGCAGGGACAGTTTCCTGTTTGTACCTGTCCATTCTTTAGTGTTTGGTACATAATAAATATTAAGATGGACAAAATTCTGCCTTTCAGCGTTAAAATGTTAAATAGCCTTTTTGGTTAACTGCTGAAAATATACTCTCATTTGGCAGACATATAAATTTTTCCTTCTAGTCTATTTTTAAAAATTTTTTATTTAGCATACCTATTATGTACTTGGTGGGAAAGAATAGGAAGCTTGTTAAAATATATTCCCTGACCTGAAAGAGCTTACAGTGAATAATATAGACAAGAAGGTTTAAATCAGCAGAAACTTGAGATTAATCATTTTATCAATAGATAAATAGATTCTATAGATTCTATTCTATTCATTGGTAGTGGAAGTTACTTTACCATATCAAGGCTAGCCTAAAAAATAGAAAAGTAACTCCCTGAACAGACATGAAGTTTCTTAAAAGTTGTATATAATCCTCTATAAAAATAATCTGAGGAGCTGCCAATGTTGCTTAGTGGTACAGTGCTTGCCTAGCATGCATGAGGCCCTGGGTTTGATTCCTCAGTACCACATAAACAGAAAAAGCTGGGAGTGGTGCTGTGGCTGAAGTGGTAGAGTGCTAACTTTGAGCACAGACAGGCTCAGGAACAGTGCCTAGGCCCTGAGTTCAAGCCCCAAGATTAGCAAAAACAAAAAAAAACAAAAAACAAAAATAATCTGAACCAGACCTTAAAAACCATAAAACTACTAAATTGAAGGAAATGAAAAAAATAGAACTATCTCAGCACATTTAGCATCGTATACATGCACACACGCACACATGCGCGCACTCGCACACATGCGCACGCGCACATACACGCACACACGCGCGCACGCACGCGTGCACACACACACTCACACATGCACGCACGCACTCACACATGCACGCACACACGCACGGACACGGACACGGACACACACACACACACACACACACACACACACACACACACGGTGGTATTAGGAATTGAACCCAGGTTCTTCAACATGTTAAGCAAGAACTCCACCACTGAGGTACAACCTCAGCCCTACTGAATAACCTTTAAAACAAAAATGCAGGATCTTAGTGCAGCATATGGTTTTAGTGTTTGGGATCAAACCCAGGGCCTTACACAAGCTAAGCATGTGCTCTATCTGAGCCAAACGCCCAGTACTGCTTATTTTACTTTAAGAAGCTTATATGATTTGAGTTGTGAGGACTTGGGAAGAAGGTAAAATAAAAGACTAATCTCTGCACCCAGTATATTGCTATATGAAAATAAAATCCACTGAAAAATGAGGAATTCTATCTCAGGTGCATTAGTAATACTTTTAAATAAATACTCAAGTCACATGTAGCTAAGTGGCCTCCACACAAAGAAGTAAAGACTATTTCCATCATTTCACAAAGTTTTGCTGGACACTTAAGCAATTAGATTATGATAGCAAAATGAATCAAGATAATATTTTCCATATTCTGTAATAGTTAAAAAAATCCCCCAAACCCTCCCTCTACAGTAAAGCAAATGTAATGTTTAAAATCAATAAAGTACTGATAAATGCAGTACCCAATTAAGTAAATAAAATTTTTTGATTATTAATAATTTTCTCAATTTCTGTTTGGTTAGCTCTGTGGTGCTGATCTGAGTAATAACACAAGTAATTCAGCAAACAGATATTAAATTTTTAGGATAGAACCTGTTCTAACAAGATCATTAGAAGAAATACCCCACCCAATACTTCAAACAGAGCAATATTTTTATAAGGCCTAATGGTTAGTGGTCTACTTGTCAAATATAAAAATCCTTAAGAACTACAGAGCCAGGTGCAGGTGGTGCTCACCTGTAATTCTAGATACTCAGGAAGCTGAGGGCTGAGGATCATGGTTGGGCAGGAAAGTCCATAAGACTCTTATCTACAGAAAACCACAAGTAGAGCTGTGGCTCAAAGTGATAGAGTGCTAGCCTTGAGCAGACACTGCTCAGGGACAGCATGTAGGCCCTGAGTTCAAGACCCACAACTGATGGAAAAAAGAAAAACAAAGCTTTTAATTGCCAGAGAAAGCAAGAAGTATGACTTTAGAATTGTTTTGAAGCCACAAAGAACAGCATAATCTTTGAATTGTTGTGAAATGCCTTTCATTCTTGTTTGCATTCGTCCCCATTTTGCTCAATAATGATCTGATATAGTTGAGATTTTGAAAAGTAAAAGTGAAGACACCATGGAGAAAGAACTACTATATTTAACTATAATGTCTGCATAAAAAGTATCTTTTTTTATTTGTGAACTCAAACTAAAGGAAAATGAACTAACGTTTGTTATGAAATTAGTTAAGTTCTATGAACATGTTTGATGTCTAGAAAGTGTTTTCCAGCCAACAAAAAATATAGTAACAGTAGGAGCAAACAGATGAAAAGTTGGGATGACTACCCTTTCAAATCTGCAGTCCTCTAACAGACTGCACATGCTACACAGAATGGAGGAATAATTCAAACTTTTAACCTTGAACAGCCTACCTTATGAAAACCACATCGTTCTTTGATTTTGTTTACTGGCTTGTCTAATCTGGGAAGAAAATTCAAAGTAAAAGAAGTTTCTAAACCGATCCCCCCTCCCATCCACATCCAGTAAGTTGATTGTTTTGTTTAGTGTACATTATGATTTGCTTCCCAGTGCCTCCTCTCCAGGCCGTGTTGAGGTCCTTCAGGGATGGGTCGAGATGCATCAAGGAAAAATCCCTCGGAGCTGTTACGATGGACCATGTCAATCTGTAGTACAGAGTCATTGTAATGTTAATACGGACATTATCCGTAATTTCAAGAACGAATGAGTGTTAGTTCATGTATGTTAGCCAATGGTTTGAATGTTTGTTCTTTTAAGATTTCCAAAAAGGTTATCTGTTCAAAAATAATGGAAAAATAGTATTTGCACGAAAATGAGTTCTCAAACAATATTGATATTATAAACGTACCCTCAAAAACGTTGGGGTTTGTACTGATCCTACAATAGTTTCAAAAGGTTTCTAACTACAAAATGCTGCTATGTATGTATAGTTTTTTGTGCGGGGGGGGGGGGGGGGGGGGGAAATGGTGTTTAGGCGTATCAGAGCACTAGTATCTAAACACATCCTAGAATATGTTTCTTTTTTTTTCCTTCTGGTCCTGAGGCTTGACTTAGGGCCTGGGCACTGTCCCTGAGCTTCTTTTTTGCTCAAAGCTAGGACTCTACTAGTAGAACCACAGTATCACTTCCAACTTCTGCTGAGTAGTTTATCACAGATAAGAGTCTCACCGACATTTCTACTTGGGCTGGCTTCAATTAGTGATCTTAAGATCCCAGCCTCCTGGGTTGCTACTAGGATTACACGCATAAGCAACTGGCACCAGGCTTAGAATTTTATTGTTGTTGTGACTTTACCCTACTTATTTGCTTACCCATTTCTGCTTATTAAACTACCCCAATAATTCATTCAAGGCTGGATTTAGATGAATTTTCTTTTTTTCTCTGACATCATTCTAGATTCTCCTCATGAGAACTTTAATACTGCAGTAACTGATCATATTTCTATGATACCTTATCTTCTATTACATAGTTATGCTAGTGTCTTTAATCTCTCCATTATACGGGAAGCTCATATTAGTGTGTTAATAGAAGTTTATTTAGTTGAACTTTCAGTGTCTCCTTTTTGGGAAAAATCAAAAGCACAAACATTAATGTGTATTAGTTGAAATTAATAATAACTAAATTTGATAGAAGGTAAAATCAGCACTTGGATTTAATTTACATGAATATAATTTACATGAATAATAATTTATATGAAAATAGTTTATAACTATCTTATGGAGTGTTTTAACTGCTAATTAAAAGTTCTGGTAAATGGTAAAATAAAACATTTAAGCTACACACCTAATATGCTTTAGAAAACATTTGCTCTGTCATGGTTTAGTCACATGGAACTAGAAAGCTGCACTGTCTTAAACACCTATTTTGTGCGTATCATGGAATTCCTTTTCTTTATCGTCAAAATTTTTATTTTTCAGTGGAGGTATGGCTTAAGTGATATAGCATCATCCTTCAGTGAACAAGCCAAGCAAAACACGTGGCCCTTAGTTCAAGCCCTAGTACGGGCACATATTCTTATTTTTCAAGATGTAAACCATAAGGGCCTTTGGAAATTTTCAATATTACATTATCTTACCAAAAATTTTAAGTCAATGTTCTTTATAATGTTCTCATAAATGACAGATTTTTACATTGAAAACTATCCCTAAATGTCCAAGGATCTCCATTTTAATAGGTGGCAAATACTGTAATTAGATTATATAAACCCAATTTTATTATTTTTCAATAATTGAGAATGATAAAAATGTATCTTATAATGTTCGTAAAAACTAATAGTAGTTTACCATGATCCATTACAGATACTGGCCTAGTTGCCACAATATAACTTTTCATTCACATCAGCAATCCTAGCTACTCAGGAGGCTGAGATCTGAGGACTGCAGTTCAAAGCTAACCCAGGCAGAAAAGTCTATAAGACTCTTATCTCCAATTATGCACCAAAAAAAAGCTGGAAGTGTAGCTGTGGCTCAGTGGTAAAGAGTGCCAGCCTTGAGCAAAAACATTCAACTCATAGCACCCAGACCCCTAGTTCAAGACCCAGGACTGGCATACAAACACAAAAAATATGAATGTCCAGCAAATCTAGGGGTCATAGCAAAGAGAAAAGATACAAGCATGACAAAAGATAAGCAGCAGGAGAAGATACTCATGTCTCATAATTTCAGTTCTATGATGCAATAATGGAGAGGGACTACATTTTAATAGGTTGGGTCCTTTCTTCTTCCCAATCCCATGGTTTGCCATTACAAATCAGGATTATTCATAATCTGGGTGAATTAGTGTCATCCAGAATATAGCTGTAAGAAAAGCAAAGCTACAGTTAACTGCTTTCAGTCTTTAAAAAATTTTTTAGGGGCTGGGAAGGTAGCTCAGTGGTAGAGTGCTTGCCTTGCATGCATGAAGCCCTGGGTTTGATTCCTCAGCACCACATAAGCAGAAAAAGCTAGAAGTGGTGCTGTGGCTCAAGTGGTAGAGTGCTAGCCTTGAGCTGAAGAGCTGAGGAACAGGGCCCAGAATCAGGCCCCACGACTGACAAAAAAAAAAAATCTTTTCAGTATTTTGAATTTTATTTTTACAAGACTTATGTATAACCCAAATGTAGAAGAAATATTTCTTCAAAACAGAGACTCTTACAAAAAATAATTTTGAATCTTAAGAGACTTACCTTCATTTTCAAAAGTTTATTTTTTTAATGTATACCTATATATATATATATATATATATATATATATACACACACACACACACACATATATACACACAACCAGGAAACAATGCTTTCATCATTAGAACCAATTCTACAGAAAATGATATATAATGAAGAATTAGAAAAAGAAAAAGCAGAATATGTCAAGGAAAAAGATGCAGTATTTAATATTATTAAATTGTGTTAATGCAAATCTGTGATTTTTAAAAACTCTAAATCCCATACTTGTCCCTCTATTCCGTCTGAAGCTCCACTATGGCATGGATTACCTTGGAATGCTGCTCTTTTAACTTCATTATTATCCCAGGATCATCTCTTTTGCTAGCCATTAGCAGTCTAAACATCTGTTCTCGGTACTTGCTCATTATAAGTTCCAAGGCGGACTGATGCTCTTCCAAGGATGTACGTAATTCTATCAAAAATAAGTTTATTGTACTCAAACTTGAGTTAAGCATATATAAAATATCTTCCATATTACATTATACAAATATCAACTGACAACTTAGAAGGAAAAAAAAAGGTAAATATCTACCCATAGACAGGTGCTGGTAGGTCACATCTGAAACCCATCTATCTACTCAGGAGACAGATATGAAGGTCTCCATATGTAGCCAGCCCAGATATAAAAATCCATGAGACTCTTATCTCCACTTAACCACTAAAGGGTCAGAAGTGAAACTGTGACTCAAATCATAGAGCATTAGCCTTGAGAGAAAAAGCTAAGAGACAGTGCCCATGCCAACCCAGTACCAGTACAAAAATACATACATATTATCTATATCTAGCCAAGGGTCATAGAATTTAGAGTCTAATGGAGAGAACAAATACAGGGTAAGCACCGAGCTAGTACCCCAAGCAGTAGGACTTCAAGCAATGAAGTTTGTGTAATTCATAGGCAAAAAAAAGTAATGAGAATTTGAAATGATGCCAACCACATAAGACAGTATATAAATTGCAATAAATATGATTAAGGCAAAAAAGATTAAAACCCTTAAGTTGGCTCTTTTCCTATTTGGGAAGCAAACTATTCCCTCCAATACCACAACTAGGGATTAAAGTCTCTGCAGCTTCTACACATAGTGGCCATTGATCTTGCCTTTGTTCTCTTGTTGCAGTTCTCTGATTTGTCTGTTTTCTTGCTGGATTCCCATAACTAACGTGGACCGAGGTCGATGCCTTGCAACTTCATTAAGTTCTTGAATTTCTTCCTGGTACTAATGAGAAGATTGAAAAATTACATTGTGGGGAGGAAATATTTACGAACTTTATCTGACATGTAAAAAAATATGAACAGCCCCTCAAAAAATTAAACATAAGGAGAAATGAAAACATATTTCTACCCCAAAACTTGTTTACAGATATTCATAGCAAATATCACTGGGTACAAATAGGAATAAAGGAGTGATACATGCTACAGCATAAATAGATCATGAAAGCATTGTTAAGCAGTAATTACTAAAAGCCACTTACTATATCATTTCATTTATATAAAATATCCAGAATAGGCAAACTCAGAGACAGATAAGTAGGGTTGGGGTTAGGCAGGTAAAATTAAACTAGTAAGAAGGGAGGTTTGGGGTGATCAAGGTATCTGGTTTGTGTGTTTTTGGTCTTTTTTTCCCCTATGGTATATCCTTTGTTCTCACTGTATTTGATTTTGGTACCCTGGGTATTGTATATACATTTATCTGAATTAGGGAAAGAAAGGGGAACAACAAAATGGTGAGACAAAGGACAAAGGGCAAACCAATGCAACAGCAATACTCACAAGACAGTATGTTGGAAATGAACTGTACAATTTGGGGAGGAACTTGGGGGGAAAGTGGGAGAAAAATGAGGGAGGGAGCAACAAGTTGGACAATAAATGTACTCACTACCTTATGTGTGTAACTGTAACCCCTCTACACATCACCTTGATAATAAAATTTAAAAAAATACATAAAAGACCTAAAAAAAGGAAAAAAAAAAACAAAGTATCTAGTTGTACTGTCTATCAATATATTAGAATCCAATGACCTGCATGCTTCTAAACTTTAGGAGTTGGTGATTTTTTAGTATATGTGAATGTTGTAACAATGATAGTAAGTGATATAAAGCTTACGCAAAAGAAATGCAAGATGATTTTATTTTTTCCAGTTGTGGGGCTTAAACTCTGGGCCTGGGCACTGTCCCTGAGTTCTTCAGCTCAAGGCTAGCCCTCTACCACTTGAGCCACAGTGCCACTTCTGGCTTTTTCTGCTTATGTGGTGCTGAGGAATTGAACCCAGGGCCTCATGCATGCGCGGCAAGCACTCTACCACTGAGCCACCTTCCCAGCCCTGAAGATTTTGCTTTTAAAGGTGAGATTCTAACTTTATAATTATCCTCATTTACTTCAAGGCATTCTTATGAAACACTTAGCAATGAATTTATTCCAATACTCTTGGCTCTTAACTTCAGATGTCTCACTCCTTCTTTTTTTAAACTAGTCAATATCAGGCAAAAGTTTAGGGAAGCACCTGAGTCAGGCTGGACAGTTATAGAATGAAATCTGTTTACAGCAACCCAGCTGTGAAACAGAATGGGTGAACTTGCGTTGCTATTTTCAGTAGCTTTGTCAAGAGTGGGATTCCATGCTTGCTTCCTTTTACAAATGTGCTCTAATAAAGTTGGAAAATACATTTTCCTTTCTAATTACTGATATTAGAAGAGATTAGATTTCTTTTGAGTTGAAAATTTTTACCAGAGGACAGCTTAAAATGGCAGCTGTACTCCATGGTTCACTGGAAGGTCTTGTCATATATGACAGACACAGCAAGAAGCAAAAATCTCATTTCTTTTGTAACTGGAAGCATTACATGAAAAATAAGCTAGAAAATAAGAATGTAATAACTACTCACATTTTCAAAAACTATTTAGTTGTTAAATAGCATCATCTACGTACTTCTATTAAAAGAAAAACAAAAATTAAACATTTGTACATTATAAAAGATACAGCATAGCTGGGTACTGGTGGCTCATGCCTGTAATCACAGCTACTCAGGAGACTGAGATCTGAGTATCTCAGTTAAAATCCAGTTCGGGAAGGAAAGACTGTGATACTCTTATCTCCAATTAGCCACCAGAAAAACAGAAGTTGCATGTGGCTCAAAGTGATAGAGTGCTAGTGCTAGCCTTGAGCACAAAAAGCTCAGGGATGGTGCCAAAAAACAAGTAAGAAAATACAGCAAAATGAGTATCAACATTAAAAAAAAAATCATCTGGTCTTTATGAAATGCATCTAAGACCTAAAGAATTCACTTATTTTCTAAACTTCAGTGTCAGAAAGGTAATCAAATCTATAGGTTTTTTATCTATATACAAACATGAGTCACCCTGAACATGGCAAAATGATATTCTAAAGTAAAACTTACAAAGACTCTTATCTCCAGTTAATTACCAAAAAGCTGGAAGTGGAAGTGTGGCTCAAGTGGTAAAAGTACCAGACTTGAGAGAAAAAGCCAAGTGAGTGCTAGGCCTTGAGGAAGGGAAAAAGGGAGGGAAGGAGAGAGGCAGGGAAAAGAGAAAGAATAGACACACAAGGAACAAGCCAAACCTGCTTCATTGCTTCTACTCGCTTGTTGAGAGCCGTGGTCTGTTCGATCAGAGACTCTGCTGCGTCATCATGGTCTCTCAACCTTTCCACCAGGGCTTTAGCATCAGCAAGTGCCTTCTCAATTGTGCAACTCATTTCCAAAGAAGTATCTACAATTAAAATTAAAATCAAGACTCAAAATAAAGCCAGTCTATCACTTTATTTTAGTTCCATGTCAATCAAAATGTCTCTTAGGCTTCATGTGTTATAAGGTTGTTCACTGTTGGGGGAGACACCCAACAAAACCCTGCAGTCTTGCTTGTTGGGTGAAGACAAACATTAAGATAAATCTGACAGGATGAACTCCCCTAGCCTTGGCTGTCAAGTGATCTATGAGGCTTCTTGAGAATGCATACTACTGATCAGCTAAAGTACCTTTATCATGCTATGTCAAAGTCTCAACCTTCTCTTGCAGAAACTTATACAACAATGTATTATAGGCTGGACCTATAATCCTAGCTATTCAGGAGGCTGAGGTCTGGGGATCATGGTTTAAAGCCAGCTCAAGCAGACAAATCTGAAAGACTTCTTTCTTTCTTTCTTTCTTCCTTCCTTCCCTTTCTTCCTTCCTTCCTTCCTTTCTTTCTTTTTTGTCAGTCGTGGGGCCTGAACTCTGGGCCTTGGCGCTGTTCCTTATATCTTCGACTGTAGACTAGCGCTCTACCACTTGAGCCTCAGCCCTGCTTCCGGCTTTTACTGTTTGTGTGTTGAATCTAACCGAGGGCCTCATACATGCAAGGCAAGCACTCTGCCACTGAGTCACCTTCCCAGCCCTGGGACTTATTTCTAATTAGCCACTAAAAAGCTGAAAATGAAGCTGTTGCTTAAGAGGTAGAGCATAGCCTGGTGCAAGGAAAAGCTCGGTAAGTACACAGGCCCGGATTGGTACCAAAAAATAAAAAATAAAAAAAAAGAAGCATTATTCTTTGGTGCTAGCTGGCTCATATCCAAAATACTAGCTATTCAGGAGGCCATAACCTAGAGGATCACAGCTTAAAGCCAGCTTGAACAGAAAAGTCTGTGAGACTCCACTCCCAGTTTAACCAGAAAGCTGGACTCAGAAACACACACACACACACACACACACACACACACACACACACACACAAATATTACTCAGTCGTAAAGAGTAAAATTCTAACATTTGTACAATGGATGAAAATGAAGGACTTTCTGTAAAGTGAGGCTGAGATCTGAGGATCTCAGTTCAAAGCCAGCTCAGGCAGGAAAGTCCATGAGACTCTGTCTCCAATTAACCACTAGAAAATCAGAAGTGGTACTGTGACTCAAAGTGGTAGAGTGCTAGCCTTGAGCAGAAAACCTTAGGGACAATACCCATAATACCCATGCTCTGAGTTCAAGCCCCAGGACTGGAACAACAATAAAAAGAAACTGGGAAGGGTTTGTGGAGGAACAGGGTGTGGAAAAGTGCGCCTTGACAATGCATGTTGTATGCATGTATAGAAATAATATCCTGAGGTTTTTTGCAATGGTTTGCCATCAGAACGTAGGTGTCATGAAAACCACCACTAAGTCGAGGCCAAAATGGGAAAGGAGAAGACTCATATCAACATTGCCGTCATTAGACACGTCGATTCCGGCAAGTCTACCACTACCGGACATCTGATCTACAAATGTGGTGGCATCAACAAGAGAACCATTGAGAAGTTCGAGAAGGAGGCTGCTGAAATAGGAAAGCGTTCCTTCAAGTAGGCCTGGGTCTTGGATAACCTGAAGGCTGAGTGTGAGTGTGGTATCACCATTGATACCTCCCTGTGGAAATTTGAGACCAGCAAGTATTATGTGACTATCATCGATGCCTCAGGACACAGAGACTTTATCAAGAATATGATTACAGGCACATCCCAGGCTGACTGTGCTGTCCCTATTGGTGCTGCTGGTGTTGGTGAATTTGAAGCTAGTATCTCCAAGAATGGGCAGACCCGTGAGCATGCCCTTCTGGCTTACACACTGAGTGTGAAACAGCTCATTGTTGGTGTTAACAAAATGGATTCCACTGAGCCACCCTACAGTCAGAAGAGATACAATGAAATCGTCAAAGAAGTCTGCACCTACATTAAGAAAATTGGCTACAACCCTGACACAGTAGCATTTGTGCCAATTTCTGGCTTGAATGGTGATAACATGCTGGAGCCAAGTGCCAATATGCCTTGGTTCAAGGGATGGAAAGTCACCTGTAAATGCGGCAGTGCCAGTGGTACCACCTTGCTCGAGGCTTTGGATTGCATTCTGCCACCAACTCGTCCCACTGACAAGCCTTTGCGCCTGCCCCTTCAGGATGTGTACAAAATTGGTGGTATTGGAACCATCCCTATGGGCCAAGTGGAGACTGGTGTTCTCAAACCTGGCATGGTGACCACCTTTGCTCCTGTCAATGTCACAATTGAAGTAAAGTCTGTTGAAATGCATCACGAAGCTTTGAGTGAGGTTCTTCCTGGGGACAATGTGGGATTCAATGTCAATGTGTCAGTCAAAGATGTTCATCGAGCAACGTTGCTGGTGAGAGCAAGAATGATCCCCCCATGGAGGCAGCTGGCTTCACTGCTCAGGTGATCATCCTGAACCATCCAGGCCAAATCAGTGCTGGCTATGCCCCTGTGCCGGATTGTCACACTGCTCACATTGCTTGCAAGTTTGCTGAGCTGAAAGAGAAAACTGATCGCCATTCTGGTAAGAAGCTGGAGGATGGCCCTAAATTCCTGAAGTCTGATGATGCTGCCATTGTTGACATGGTTCCTGGCAAGTCAATGTGTGTGGAGAGCTTCTCTGACTATCCTCCTTTGGGTCATTTTGCTGTTCGTAATATGAGGCAGACAGTTGCTGTGGGCATCATCAAAGCTGTGGACAAGAAGGCTGCTGGAGCTAGCAAGGTCACCAAGTCTGCCCAGAAAGCTCAGAAGGCTAAATGAATATTACCCCTAACACCTGCCACTTCAGTCTTAACTGATGGTGGAAGAAAGGTCTCAGACCTGTTTATCTCAATTGGCCATTTAAGTTTAATAGTAAAAGACTGATTAATGATAACAATGCATTGTAAAACCTTCAGAAAGAAAGGAAAATGTTTTGTGGACCATTTTTGTGTGTGTGGCAGTTTTATGTTATTAGTTTTTAAAAATCAGTACTTTTTAATGGAAACAACATGACCAAAAATCTGTCACAGAATTTTGAGACCCATTAAAACAAAGTTAAATGAGGGGAAAAAAAAAGAAATAATATCCTGGTATTTTGCAACAATAAAAAATTATAGTACCAAAACCAAATTGGAGGGAGGAGATTAAATAAATCTAGCTAGACACAGGTGGCTGATACCTATAATCCTAGCTACTCAGGAGGCTGAGATCTGAGGATAATAGTTCAATGCCAGCCTGGATAGGAAAGTCTATAAAACTCTTAATCCCAATTAACTACCAGAAAATTGTAAGTAGTGTTGAGGCTCAAGTGACTGAGTGCCAGTCTTAAGCAAAAAAAGGCCCCTGAGGTCAAGCCCTGGTATACACTCTCTCTCTCTTTCTCTCTCTCTCTCTCTCTCTCTCTCTCACACACACACACACACACACACACACACACACACACAAAATAGCTGAAAGAACTAAAATAATAAATATACAGATCCACATACTTCAGCATGTTAGGAATTACCTCCACAGAAAATCAGCAAGGATAGAGAGAGGAAACTACCTACTGAGGTGTTCAATTGATACTTATAAAATGCTACAACCAGCAACAGCAGATAAGGAACCTGTGGTTTTACTTTGTATCATTTCAGTTACTCATGACCAACTGTTTCCAAACTATCAAGTGGAAAGTGCTAGAAGTAAGCAAACTCATAAATTCTGGACCACATGCTATTCTGAGGAGCATGAACACAACTGGACATCTACACCTACTCCTGATCAGGAAATGAATCCACATTGGTCTTGTTCCCCACCACATAGTCCCTTAGCTACCATAGAAGTTATCAGACTGTCCATTGCACAGTGCCTGTGTTCAAGCCATACTTTATGTAATCATGTCTCCAATGACCAATAGCAATGATGCTGGCAGTTTGGATATGCCAAAGAGAAACCATAAGGTACTTGAAGTGAAAAGAGACTCAGGGCAATAGGGAAAAAATAACTGTGTATCAAGGTTGTTAAGACCTATAGTAAAAATGAATGTTCTCTCCATGAAGTTGAGAAGAAAGAAAAATAAATTTGTTAGTTTTCCTGTTGTTGTTCAAACTACAAACATTACAGCCACTTGTATATGCTTGGTGCTGGTGGTGGCTCCCATCTGTAATCTTAACTACTCAGGAGGCTGAGTCTGAGGATTGAGGTTCAAAGCCAGAGCAGGCAGGACCAAGTCCATGAGACTGTTATCTCCAATTAACTACTGAAAAGCTGAATGTGGAGTGTGACTCAAGTGGTAGAGTGCCCACCCTTAGCAAAAAAAGCTAAGGCACTCAGGCTCTGAGTGTAAGTCTCAGTACCAGCACCAAAATAAATAAATTAAGGAAAAAGAAATCCCTGGTGGTACATCTCAGGGGTCTACAGCATGCTCTGCATTTGAATCTTAACACCACCAAAAAATAAAAGAATGAAATAAAAAACTTGCTTTTTAATCCTCCTAACAAAGGAAAACAGTGTCAAGATATTATATAGGTGGAAGAATCTGTGAGCAGAAGAAAAATATGTTCTAATGGATAGCAACATTGTGTGCCAGAAGGCAGAGAACCAAAGGGAAGACTTTAGCAAGAGATCTCCTGAAATATATGACCCCAAGCCATTTCTTGAAAGGGATGATTATACAGATCCAGGAATAGGTTTAACCTGAAATTCCTAGAGAGCTTGTATAGGATGATGAAGAAGCTGAGGTCACATTTCCAGCAAGGCTGAAGGCTAGTTAAGGAGAAAGGAGAAGATACTCAGTAGAACATATGCTTATAAAAGCAAATGAGGAACCAAAGTGTAAAACATGGAAGGAAAGATAAGATTCTAGTGTGAAGGAACACTGCATGGTATGACAGGCAGGTGAAGAAGCCACAAATACTAAAACATAAAAAAAAAGGTTATTTTGAGAAAGATTATATTCACATAAGTTTCATTACAGTTATAATTCTTTTCTATTTTATTACTTGTGTTGTTACTACTGTTGTACTGTAGTTGATTTGAAGTTAATCCATTATAGGCATGCATGTACAAGGAGAACATTATATATAATATTTGTGTTTTTCTGAATTCATTAGGGGTCTTAGAACATATTCCCTCACAGGTAGAGGTGAACTATCATACACATTATTTTGAAGTGTACTCAGGATATTCACTAGGACAGATCACAAAACAAATCTTAATAAATGTGAAAGAATTGCAATTATGTAAATTTTATTTTCTGATTACAATGGTATTGAATCAGGTACTACCTAAACCTTCAGAAACTAGAAAAGGAAAAAAAATCAAAGTAAATAGAAGCAAGTGACAAAAAGCAAGCAGCAAGATTAAACCAGTGAACAATAAAATAGGAAGACAACACAGAAAAACTATGATTAAAAAAAAAATTCTTTGGGCTGGGAGCGTGGCTCAGTGGTAGAGTGCTTGCCTTACATATATGAGGCCCTAGGTTCGATTCCTCAGCACCACATAAACAGAAAAAGTCAGAAATGGTGCTGTGGCTCAAGTGGTAGAGCGTTAGCCTTAAGCTGAAGAGCTGAGGGACAGTGCCCAGGCCCAGAGTTCAGGCTCCACGACTGGCCAAACAAAAAACAAAACATAACAAAATTCTTTAAACAGATCAATAAAGCTAGGCACCTGTGGCTCATGCCTGTTATCCTAGCTACTGAGGAGGGTGAGGTCTGAGGATGGAGGTTTGAAGCCAGAATGGGCAGAAAAGTTCAGGAGACTCTTATCACCAATTAACCACTCAAAAACTGGAAGCAGTACTGTGGCTAAGAGGTAAGGCACTAGCCTTGAGCAAAAGAGCCCAGGGTCAGCAACCAGGCCCTGAGTTCAAGTTTCAGGACCTGTGCATGCACAGCACCTGCACACACACACACACACACACACACACGCGCACACGCACACACACACGCACACACACACACACTGACCAAGAGAAGGGAGTAGAGGAAAAAGACAAGGTGAGCAAAAGAAGAACCAGGCACAATAGTAGAAGCCTCTTTTCTCAGAGGCAGGAGGATTTTAAGTTCCAGCCAAGCTTGGGCTACATAGAAAGACATGTTACAAAATAAAACAAAACAGGGGCTGGGAATGTAGCTTAGTGGTAGAGTGCTTGCCTAGCCTGCATGAAGTCCTGGGTTTGATTCCTCAGTACCACATAAACAGAAAAAGCCATAAGAGGCGCTGTGGCTCAAGTGGCAGAGTGCTAGCCTTGAGCACAGAATGGCTCAGGGACAGTGCTTAGATCCTGAGTTCAAGCCCCAGGACTGGCAAATAAAACAAAACAAAACAAAACACAAAAAGAATAAAAGAAATAATTGCAGGCTCCTAATTCATTCTAAGTTTAAGAGAATACAATAATAAATCTTCCTCACATGAACTGGATAATGTGGAGAAGTAAATTAATTCCACAAAATCCACAAATTACCTAAAGTCACACAAGAAAGGGATGACTATGAATAGTTTTGTAAGTATTAATTATAGCTATTTGAACTACATAACTATATACGCATCCTATAAAATTCCTATATTTCAGAAATTGATTTGGAGAACCTACAAAAAAATTTTCTGTACCATATAATTTCAATGGCAGATTCTAATACACATTTAAAGAACTAGTATTACATAATCTCTTCAAGAAAAGAATAATGAATTCAGTCATAAAATAATATAGCTTAACACTGATACCAAAACCACTCCAAAGTAATAAAAATAATTAAATCACTATCCCTCATAAATGCCAAAGCAAAAATCCTCAATATGAGCAACTCAAATTTGGTCATATGTTAAAAAAACAAACAAACACCATGATCAAGTATAGGTTCATCCAGAATTTAAGGCTGTAGGCCTACGAACACTGTAGTTCATCAAAGAAAACATTTAACCATACAAATTGTTGCATTAGAAAAATCCCCAAAGGAAAAGGCTTGGGGCTATTTTGTGTAATCCTAGCTATCAAGGTTGTAGAGGAAGGAAGAGGGAGAACTTGAGGCTAGTCTGGGCAAAGTTAGTGAGACCCTATCTCAACCATAAAACATAAAAGGACAAAAGTGCTACTGAAGTGACTCAAGTGCGAGAGCATTTGCCTAGCACTTGTGAAGTTCTCAGTTCAATTCTTGGAACTGGAAAAATAAAAATCCAAAGGGAAAACATTTCTAGAATACTTGATTTTAGCAGTTCCACAGACACAAGGAAAATAACTAGTTTTGTTCCTATTAACTAGCAATGAACAAGTGGAAACCAAAACTTAAAAAAAAATACTCATTTGCAACAGTCAAAATGAAACTCTTGGGCATAAATGAACAGAGTGCAGGCAGGATCTATATAGTGATAACTACAAAATGCAAAGGTGGGGAGAAACAAAATTACCCGATCCTACCAAACAAAGGAATTTCCAAGATATTAAAAAAAATAATCTCAAGCAATCATGGAAATCTATTACGAAGAGCAATTAAAAAATATTTTTCCATCTAATAAGAAAGCTTGCAATCAATCATTTTATCTAAGCGTTACAATTAAGCAATGAATATTTTCCGATAGGCTTTAACATTACAAATTAAGATATACTTAAAATATAGGGGTATATAATAATAATAATAATAATATAGGGGTATATATAATAATATGGCTCAGTGGTAGAGCGCTTGCCTTGCATGCCTGAGGCCCTGAGTTCGATTCCTCAGCACCACATAAGCAAAAAGAAAAAAGCCGGAAGTGGCGCTGTGGCTCAAGTGGTAGAGCGCTAGCCTTAAGCTGAAGAGCTGAGGGACAGCGCCCAGGCCCAGAGTTCAGGCCCCACGACCGGACCCAAAAAAAAAAAAAAAAATATGGAATTGTACCTCTTTGTACAATTAATTCTCAAGGTTACACAAAGAAAATGAACTAAATTTAAAATTTTACTTTGTAGTTAATAAAAGCTTATCTATTCAGGGAAAGGAAATATAAATAAAAGGTAGCTTAAAGTATAATTGTCTTGCAAAGTCTTAACGTGTTCAAATTTTAAAAAAACAGATCATAGTAATAAAGTATTTTCAATTTATCGGCTCATTTTCATAATTGTGCTTGCAATTTGTCATGATTTGTTTACATTGTGTACTACAGACAGCAATTAAAAACAAAACCAACCAACCACGCATTCTGTCTTGTGCCTGCCACCTGTAACACCCTATTAAGCCTCATCCTCGCCCACTCTGCCATGCTGACATCTGGCAGAGGGAACATTCTGCTGCTTATAAAAGAAAAGCCACCACCCACTCTGTTAGCAATTGTTCCAGCTGTTTACTTTTAGATTCTTGTGAAAATTTCTGTTGTCCACAAATCCATGTCCTACTACTGGGATCTACACAAAATACTGTGACTTCTGATACAACACAAATGTGTCTGTAGATGTTAGTGATCTAGTTCAGTTTAACGTTTTATATTTTTCAAGCTGGTGCCAATGTTAATTAGATAATACTAACTGATACACGAAAATAGCCAAATGAAAAGGCAGAGTGCATAAGGAATGTCAGGATGAGCTTCCAGATGGATAAAGCAGAAATGAATCTGAAAGGTACATGTAGAGGATGTTAGGACTAAGACTTTCTCAAAAGGATCAGAAGGCTGAGCTCAGAAGAAAGGAAATTCCAACTGCTAGGAGCTGAGAGGTGGCAGAGTTTTCTTTCTTCTTTCCTCCTCCTCATCTCTTCTTTTAATGGCATAGTTTTGAATATTTATCGCCCAGATGGATTAAGAAAATCTTAAATGTGATCTGGCAGTAATGTGGATTCTGTAAACAGAATACACTAAAAATTTTATTTGCATGAAAAACAATACGTATGGTGTGTGGATTGTTTTAAGCCTCAACATAATCCAGTATATTTCTGTACAAAATATAAATTTCCCCTTACTTAAAACATATAAAATAGCTAATTTAAAAAACACTAAGTGCATATTCGAAGCCTATGTGTAGTTTTCAATAAACTCAGAATGTCAGCTTTTTAAGAGAGGGGAGGGGAAAGACAGGGACGTCCAAGGAACTCATATCGTCTTAAATTATGAGACGACCATGTTTCAATTTTAGATGTGCCATCTGAAGCGCTTCTTAAGTGAGAAAAGTCCTACCGGCGCAGTGGCTCACGCCTGTAATGCAAGCTACAGGGGGCCGGGGGTGGGGGGGCGGACTGATACCGGAGGACAGCCAGGGAAGTCAAGTCCTAGGGCCGCTTGTCATCAATTAACCACCAAAGACCAGAAGTGGAGCTGTGGCTCAAGAAGTAGAGCGCCGCGGCTCGCGGCTGGGCTCACTTACTCTGCTCTCGGCCGTCAGCGTGTCCCAGCCTAGACACTCGGTGACTCAGTTCCGCCTTTCCGGCCAGCAGGAGCCGAACAAGGACAAGGAACGGACGGGTAACCAACCGGACAGGACGCGGGGCAGGCCCCACCACCGACCAGCGAGCTCCACAACCGTACAATGAGCGTGCGCGACCGAAGTGCGAAGTCTCGCGAGATTTCCATTCTGGCGTTACCTTGGGGTCCGAGAGAACCACTTGCCACGGATTTCTCTGACAGGTAGGGGCGGGGCCGTTATACTCTCGCAAAGTCTCGCGCGCTCTCCTCGAGGAAACAGGACTTTGTGGAGAGGCCGCTGAGTGGTCGGGCTCTAACCCCAGTGGGCCGTGGCCCGCTTAGCTAGCGCTGTGGTTGGTATTTTGCTCTTTGGGGAAAGGCTCTAGGAGTCATGATTATTCTTTCTAAAGAGTGACTGGGACACCTAGCGAGTAAAAACGCTCGAAGGGTTGTAGGCGCGTTCCGCCCTCTTCCGGTTGGCCCGGCGCTGGTTTAGTACGTCAGTTCTGTGAGGGGAAGGGAAGCTCGGCCGTCTGTTGGCGAGGCCTCTGTGCATGCGCGCGTCCTGGCGTGTGTGAGGGCGCGCGCATGCGCACGTTTGGACATTCAGGCTGCCTGGGGAGCAGTGGTGTGCTAGGTGAACGGGAAAACGTAGCCTTCTGTTGTGGGTACCAGACACAGATTGTATGCTGACTCTCTATCCACCCACCCCGGCTGCAGCCTTTTCCAGAGAGGCGGTGCTCCACAGCCTCTGTTCGTTGTCGCTGCAGGACCAAGCACGAAAGTAAGCTAACCTCCATCCTGAGGTCTTCCCTTATCCACTCACCTTGTACTTTCCGCCCGCCCTCCCCCCAACTCCCTTCTGCAAAGTGTCCAGAAAGAGGGGGAGACAGAAACTTCTGAGCTAAAGAACATAATGGGGTCATTGAAAACCTTGGCTTTGATGAACACTTTCACCGTGCTTAGTATGTATATTTCGAATGTGGCTTTCTCCTCAATTTAAGATTAACGTAGCAGGCGCCGGTGGCTCACGCCTACAACCCCTGCTTCTCAGGAAGCTGAAACCTGAGGATTGCGGTTTGAAGTCAACCCTTAAACAGCAACCAGCCGGAAGTGGAGGTGTAACTCAGGTGGTAGAGCTCCAGCCTTGAGTGAAAAACCTTAAAGGAGCGCATGAGGGCCCAGTTCAGGCTCCAATACCAGGACCCCTCCACTCCCCCCCCCCCCCCAAAAAAAAACAAAAGAGTGCCACATGCGCTGTTTTTGTAAGAAGTTTTGAAAGTTTATCTTCCTTACCATTGTGATGGTACCTACTTAAGTTCTCTCCTGTTCTGCATGTAAGTTATTGTGGTAAATTAAAAGAGAACGGTGGAGAATGTGACTTTGGATCCTTATCCTAATGTGAATTACTGGTATTATTTAGTTGTCTTTTCTTTTTTTTTTTGGGTCTGGTCGTGGGGCCTGAACTCTGGGCCTGGGCGCTGTCCCTCAGCGCCACTTCCGGCTTTTTGCTTATGTGGTGCTGAGGAATCGAACGCAGAGCCTCATGCATGCAAGCAAGCGCTCTACCACTGAGCCACCTTCCCAGCCCCAGTTATTTAGTTTTCTTAGGAAATGTTTATTGGGTTTTGGGTGGTTCTTTTGCTGTCTTCTTCACTGTTAGTTTTCCCTCACACTAGCCTTTGTCTTTTTTTAATAAGTTGTAAAACCTTCTCATTATTTTAGAGGGCAATAAAAAAATGGTGGATTGTGACAATCAGCAACGATCAGCGAAAGTGCATTTGGAAAAGTATTTGTCATTAATTATATTTGATAGATGTAAGGCCATCAGATACAATCATGTAAAAATTTTTTTTGACCCTTTTTTTCAAAAAGAAAAAGTATGAATTAATTTTGCTTGTGCCTGATAAAGTGGCAGTTTAATGTGGTATAGTTCATCCTTTGAATTGAGACACTTGCATAAACTTTATATTGCTTGGTGTAGGTGACTTCCTGTCATCCTCACTACTCAGTAGATTGAGAAATGAGGATCGTGGTTTAAAGCCAGCCCAAGCAGGAAAGTCCATGAGACTCTTACTTTCATTAACAAGCAAAAAGCTAGAAGTGAAAATGTGGATTAAGTGGTAGAGCACCAGCCTTGAGGGGAAAAAGCTGAGCAGGAGTGCAAGGCCCTAAGTTCAAACCCTAGTACCAAATAAAACAAAATGAAAAGTACACTGTTGGTCAACTTCCTTTAACATATTATTCATGTTCCCTATCATCAGATCTTTTTGAGGAAAAGGCACATTGATTAGGATAATTTAAGGTACTAAATGTTACATATCAACTAGTATTTTTTCTCTCATACAGACTAAAAATGAAGATTTTTTCGGAGTCTCATAAAACTGTCTTTGTTGTGGATCACTGTCCTTACATGGCAGAATCATGCAGACAGCATGTTGAATTTGACATGCTGGTGAAGAATAGAACCCAAGGAATCATTCCTTTGGCCCCTATCTCTAAATCATTGTGGACTTGTTCAGTAGAATCTTCCATGGAGTATTGTAGAATAATGTATGATATATTTCCTTTCAAAAAGTTGGTGAGTATGAATTACAAACAATTATGATATTGGGGGAGAATGTACTTTATGTAAATTTACCTGAAGTTGCTATAGAGTTCACTTAAAATTTTATTTGAAAATACCTAAGAAAGCTGGGTGCTGATGGCCTGCATCTATAATACTAGCTTACTTAGGAGACTGAGATTTGTGGATCACAGTTCAAAGCCGGCCTAGGTTAGAAAGTTTATGACAGTCTTCTCTTTAATTTCCTGCATAAAGCTGGAAGTGGAGCTGTTATTTAAATGCAAGCCTTGAATGAAAAAGAAAAGGGAGATTGCCCAGCCCTGAATTCAAGCCTTAGTACTAATGTGCTTATGTGCATGCGCGAGCGCGTGTACACACACACACACACACACACACACACACCTCTCTAAGAACTTAACTGCCCTTTGGAATTATTATATTATTGGTATATAATTGGGGCCAGTAATAATGACACAGTAATCATTGAGCACTTATTTCCATATACCAGACATGTTTACATTTATGAGCTCTTCTAATTCTAACAGTTTCATAGAACTGTTTGAATTAAGGCTATGTTGGGACATAATAGGGTATTAGAGAAATAGTCAAAGCATGTATGAAACTATGAAACAAGCTTTGTCACCCATGCAGAAGGAATGAATGTTGGCAATAAGCAGTTTGATGGGTTGTGCTGATGTGTGCCAGCTGAATGTTAGCCTTGTTTGTTCCTGTCATATTGTTGATATAGATTGAAGTGAAGAGAAGAAACTTGTTTTGAGTTGTATAGTTGTAAACAGAAGCAAATCTGAACCTAAGTAGGCTTGCTGATTCTAATTTTAGTGAGTATAAATACTTAACTATGTTAGTATTTTGCAGTGTTAGAAATGAGTTTAAGATGCTAAGTGAGGGCTGGGTTTGGGTCAGCATAGACAGCTTGGATTTCCACTCCCCCCCCACCAAAAGATGTTAAGTAGGAGGAGTTTTTTGACCAGTAAGAGAACTCTTATGATAACTGCTAGAAATTCCAGGCATGAATTTATCTTTGGGTTTTAATATCTCACATGTTTTGGTTGTGGAAATTTACTATATTTGCCACAAGTAGATGATAGGCTTTTTGTTTTGTTTTCCAGTAGCCTAGCTTTGACCTAGACAGTTCTAGAATGTCAAATATAGAGTAGGAACAGCACTGGTGAACATACAGTTCAATATTATATATTCAGATATATTCCAAGTTAAAATATAAGAAGACAGATGGAGGGGGAGGAAGGGAGACAAAGGAGGGGAGGAGAAATAGGGAAGAAGAGGAATAGAGGAGGGACATGAATAACATTGTGATTTGAAGGCATAGGTTTTGGTTTGAATTCTGGCATTTTTAGCTCAGCAGTGTGACCTGGGTTCTATTTCTTCAGCTCTCTAATCCCCAGTTTTTCTCCCATGTAAGCCTAAAACCTACTTCCTGTTACTAGATTTAATTGAGACAGTCTAAATACAGTGGCTATTAAATTCCCAGGCTGGGCTCCAATGGCTCATGCCTATAATCCTGACTACTTGGGAGGCTGATACCTGAGTCTCATGGTTCAAAGCCTGCTGGTTATCTCCAGTTAACCATCAGAAAACCAGAAGTGAAAAGTGACTCAAGTGCCAGTCTTGAACAAAATAAATATATCCTTGTCAGATAAGGTTTAGGACAGAGGACTTAAGGTGGGAAAACTAGTATTTTATGGGTATTAGGAAAAAGGATTATAGACTAGAGTTAGATTATCCCAGGAAAAGAAAAAAATCCATCCTTCTGTAAATCATTCAGTATGTTTCAGAATATATTCCTTATCATCATTGCCATCTTAAGCAGAGAGTTGTTGTTTGGGTTTTTTTTTTCCCCTCTTAGTCATGAGGTTTGAACTCAGGGCCTGGGCACTGTCCCTGAGCTCTTTTTGCTCAAAGCTAGTGCTCTACCACTTTGAGCCACAGCACCATTTCCAGTTTCTGAGTAGTTAATTGCAAGTAAGAGTCTCATGGGAATTTTTCTAGGTGGGGTGGCTAATTTAGAACTGCAATCTTCAGATCTCACCTTCCTGAGTAGCTAGGATTAAAAATATGAGTCACACCAGTGCCTGGCTTATCAGTTCCATCCCTCCCTCCCTCCCTCCCTTCCTTCCTTCCTTTCTTTCTTCCTTCCTTCCTTCCTTCCTTTTTTTCTGTGCTGAAGATAACACCCAAGATATCTCTTGATAGCATTTTCAAAATTTACATTTTACTATAACAATCAGAATAGTATATGTCCACTATTTGACTTCCAGTGCTCTGTAAATAGTTTGCTACTCATTTCTTTAAACTTTTCTCCTACTTCTTTGCTTGCTCTGATTTTTGCCCTTTTGAAAGGACATGTAGAGGCTTTTACGTTTGTTTTTGCTATATTTGAAAATAATTTTTTTGTGTATGTGTGCCAGTGTGGGGCTTGAATTTAGGGCTTGGGTACTATCCCTTAGCTTTTTCCACTGATGGCTGTCACTCTACCACTTGAGCCACAGGCCCATTTCCAATTTTTGTTGTTGTTGTTGGTCATGGGACCTGGGCACTGTCCCTGAGCTCTTCAGTGCAAGGCTAGTGCTTTACCACTTGAGCCACCACACCACTTCCAGCTTTTTCTGCTTATGTGGTGCTGAGGAATTGAACCCAGGGCCTCGTGCATGTAAGGTAAGCACTCTACCACTGAGCCACCTTCCAGCCCCCATTTCCAATTTTTTACTGGTTATTTAGAGGTTAATCTAGGGCTGGGAAGGTGGCTCAGTGGTAGAGTGCTTGCCTTGCATGCATGAGGTCTTGGGTTTGTTCAGTTCCTCAGCACCAGATATCAGCAGAAAAAGCCGGAAATGGTGCTGTGGCTCAGGTGGTAGGGCACTAGTCTTGAGCTGAAGAGCTGAGGGACAGCGCCCAGGCCCAGAGTTCAGCCCCCATGACAAGCCAAAAAAAAAAAAAAAAAATAGAGAGATGAGTCTTACTGTCTTTCTTGCCTGGGTTGGCTTGGAACTGTGATCCTCAGATCTCAGCTTCCTGAGTAGGTAGGATTACAGGTGTGAGCCACCAGTGCCCAACTATTTGTTTTTACTCTTACAGTGTGTTGTTGTTCTTTTTTTTTTTTAACCTTATTGTCCTCTCCAGACTTCCCCCACATTGTGATAGTGCTGTTTTATTTATTACTCTGTTCCCATAATCAGTACCACAATAGCACCTGGCATGCAAATGAATGAATCAATGAATCAGTGTTAGAAATTACATATTAATGTAAAATGTGATGATGCTTGAGTATAATTAGAATTGAATACTTTTTCTTTAACATCTGTTAGGTGAATTTCATTGTGAGTGATTCTGGAGCACATGTTTTAAATTCTTGGACTCAAGAGGACCAAAATTTACAAGAGGTATGATACATTTTGATTTATGGCTATTTTTAAGAATTATTTAAAAATAGTGATACTTGTTTTAAATTTAAATTTTATTGTTAAGGTGATAAACAGGGGTTACAGTTACATACATAAGGTAATGAGTACATTTCTTGCCAAACACCATTATCCCTTCTCATTTTTCTTCCACTCCCCCCCCCCCCCCCCCAATAGTGGTACTTTTTAAAGATTTTTCTTTTAATTCATGATTTAGTTGCACATAGTTTTACAATCCAAAATTACATTACAAAATCTAGTTAATTCCATTCTAGTCTCCCTCTGATCTACAATTCTAGTTTCTAATATTTACTTCCATATTTAATACAATTCCTAAACTATGTTTTACTCTTATTTATTGAATTGTCAATTTAAACCTTATTTATTAGTAATATTTCTTAAGATTTTTTTTTTATGTTTTCCCCTACTCATGATGCCTTTTCCTTATTTATTGTTATATATCAGCACTAGGAGTGATTGTACATGCTTGTAATCTCAGCTGTGTGTGTAAGCATAGGTAGGAGGGTATATCCCAGTTCAAATTAAGACCCTTCCTGAAAAATAAACTAAAGTAAAAAGTGCTAGAGGTGTGGCTTAAGTGCTAGAATGTGTGGAGGCCCTAAATTTAAAGCTTGGTGCCTCCAAAATGATAAAATTGTTATAACAAGTATAAGTAAAAAACAGTTCTTGGTTTTTTTTTTTTTTATGTTGGTTGTGGGTCTTGAACTCTGGGCCTGGGCACTGTCCCTCAGCTCTTCAGCTCAAGGCTAGCACTCTACCAGGCATAAGCCACAGGAGTCCGGCACCTTTTATTTTTTTAAGGGCAGTCACTCAAAAATGATTTTAATGGCTTGGCTTTGCATTTGTCCTCAAATATTTTAATTCCTTTATTATGAAAACATTCAAAATCCTTTCTTCTACCTTAAAATATGTGTATATGCATATTAATTACAATATTATATTTCCAGCCTCCTTAGGATTATAAGTATGAGCTATGGCACCCTGCATATTATAGCCAGTCATGGGGCTTGAACTTGGCTTGGGCACTGTGCCTGAACTTCTTTTTTTTTTTTTTTTTTTTGTCGGTTGTGGGGCTTGAACTCTGAGCCTGGGACTGTTCCTCAGCTCCTCAGCTCAAGGCTAGTGCTCTACCACTTCAGCCACAGTGCCACTTCCAGTTTTCTGGTGGTTTATTGGATATGAGTCTCACAGACTTTCCTGCTGGGGCTGGCTTACAACCATGATCCTTAGATCTCAATCTCCTGAGTAGCAAGGATTATAGGCGTGAGCCATCAGCTCCTGGCCCCTGAGCTTCTTTTGCTCAAGGCTAGCACTCCACCACTTGAGCCATTGTGCCTTTTCTGACTTTTTCTGTTTATGTGGTACTGAGGAATTGATTTACCCAGGGTTGAATGCATGTTAGGCAAGCACTCTACCACTAAGCCACATTCCCAGCCCTTATTATAGCCTTTATAGCTTATAAAGCACAATTCTCCCTTCCCTTCCCCTCTTCTCCCCCACTTCCCTCCCTTCCCCTCCTCTCTTCCCCTCCTTTCTTTTTTCTCCCCTTATCCTATCCTTCCTCCTTCTCCCTCTCTCCCTCCCTCTCCCTCTTCTTCTCCCTCTCCCTCTCTCTCTTCCCTCTCTCCCTCCCCCTCCCTTGCCTCTCTCCCTCTCTCTCCCTCTCCCTCCCTCCCTCTCTTTCCCTCTCTCCCTCTCTCTCCCTCTCCCCCTCCCTCTCTCCCCCTCTTCTTCTCTCCCTCCCTCCCTTCCCCTCTCCCCAGCCCTTTTGCTTTCCATCTCTCCTCCTTCCTCTTCTTCTGTAATGACCTCCAGAGTTGAGGAAATCCACAGAGGCATCTATCTATTAAAGGTGATGAAGGAGTTTTATTTAGCTGGTCAGTGATTGCCTTGTCCTGGGATACCTCAGAACCAAGAGCAGCAGCGACCTCTAATGGGATAGGGTTATAAAGGACAGAACCACACTCAGATGGTGGTTTACAGAAGAAGCTCAAAGATCACTTGGGGGATATTCTTCAGCTCCTCGAAGGATAGTCAGGACCAGGTGGACAGCATTCTGCCCACATAGCTGGAGGCTAGAGATTCAGGACTGGGGTGGGAATTAACAAAAAATGAAAAACTGTATTCCTACATTTCCTTTCTTTCCTTTCCTCTTGTATTTCTCCTTTTTTGACAAACTCTTATTACCTTGCTCAGGCTGGCCTTGAACTCTCCAGCTCAAGTGATCCTCCCGTCTTACCCTCCCCATTAGCTGGGACTACGGACAGATAGTCTACCCAGCACACATATTCAAAATAGCTTGATTGAGAATAATTCACATACCATGCATTTCCCCTACTTAAAATCTACAGTTATCATTAAAAATATATTCACGAATGTGTATGGTGATGACTAGAGTCAATTTTACAATATATCTTCACCTGAAAAATTTTCCATATACTTTAGCTATTATCCCTTGTCTCCCCCCACTCCTTCATCAGACAAGACATGCCTAATCTATTTTCTAGAACAGAACATAGTTCTCTGTTTTAGTCATTTCATATAATGGAATCATACAATATATGGTCTTTTGTAACTGCCTTTGATTTGGCATTCATAGTATCCTCAAGGTTCACCTATGTTGTAGTATGCAACAGTAAGTATTTCAGACCTTCTTATGACTTCTCTTACATTAGCTCCTCCACATTTTGTGTATCTCCCTGTCAGTTAATGACATTTAGATTCACCTTCTGGCTGTTATGTATAATATTACTATAGGCATCCTATTTGTGTATGAAAATTATGTTTTCATTTTCTTTGGATATAAACGAAGAAATGTTGAAATTTTGGTAACCTGTATTTAACATTTTGAAGAACTGTCAACTTGTGACTGACTTTTTGGTTCTAAATATTATAGTGGGTGTTTTTTGTTTTTTGTTTTTAATAGTCCTGGACCTAGGCATTGTCCCTTTATTTTATTCTGTTGTTGTTGTTGGTTGTAGGGCTTGAACTCAAGGTCTGTAGGCTGTCTCCAAGGTTTTTTGCTCAAGGCTATCACTCTACCACTTTGAGCCACAGCACTACTTCCATTTTTTGGTGGGTTTTTGTTTCTGTTTTTATTTTGACATAAGAGATTCACAGACTCAAAGCCTGGGCTGGCTTTGAACTGTTGTCCAGATCTCAGCCTCCTGAGTAGCTACAATTATAGGCATGAACCACCAGCGCCCAGCTTCTGAGCTTCTTTTGTTCAAGGCTAGTGCTCTACTGCTTGAGCCATAGCACCACTTCCAGCTTTTTCTGAGTGGTTTATTGTGTTAAGAGTCTCACAGACTTTTCTGCCTGGGTTGGTTTTGAACTGTGCAATCTTCAGATCTCAGCTACTGATAGGATTATAGGTGTGAACTACCAGTGCCTGGCCCTGTGGGGTTTTCTTTAGTATCCTTTATCTATTTAAGGTATTTGTCTATTCCTAGTTTACTGAATTTTTTTATCTGTGTATATTTTTAACTTGGATTTTGTTAAGTGCCTATTTCTGTGTTTATGGAGGTGATTACATGACTTTTGTTTTTTATTCTGTTGATACGGTATCTTATATGAATTGATTTTTTTATATCAAGTCAACTTTATATTCTTGAGGTAAGTCTTCCTCGATGATGCTGTATAATTCTTTTGTGTGTCACTGAGTTTTACTAGTATTTTGTTAAGAATAATTTTTAGAAACATGGGTTTGCAGTTTTCTTCTGGTGTTTTTGTCTCTTTGTCACCATCATTTCTCCTGGTTTGTAGCTTATGGCATCATTAGCAGCCGTTGGTCCTCCTAACCCTCGTGCGGACCCAGAGTGCTGCAGTATTCTGCATGGTCTTGTGGCTGCCGTGGAGACCCTTTGCAAAATTACTGAATACCAACATGAGGCTCGTACTTTACTCATGGAGAATGCAGAACGTGTTGGGAATAGAGGACGAATAATCTGCATTACTAATGCAAAAAGGTGGGGTATATATGAATTGAAGCCATGCTTTCACTGGGGGAATTCCAATTTCTATTGTGGATTCTGTGTAAAAATCAGGATCAGCATGAAATCATATAAGCATATTGAAAGTGGCCAGTGTAATTTTTCCCCTTGTATTGAGTCTATGTCTGTTCAATTCTAAATTAAAAAAAAACCCACCTACATGAAAACTGGTTTAGATAATCATAATGAAAATTGATTTGGCTAATTTTTTCTTACTAGTATTTTTTTTTTTTTTTTGGTCGGTCATGGGGCCTGAACTTGGCTTGGGAGCTGTCCCTGAGCTCTTCAGCTTGTGGCGGGCGCTCTACCACTTGAGCCACAGCACCATTTCTGGCTTTTTCTGCTTATGTGGTGCTGAGGGCCTCATGCATGCGAGGCAAGCACTCTACCACTGAGCCACCTTCCCAGCCCCTTAGTAGTTTTTTATCTAGCTTGTTATTGTAAGTGAGAAAAATATACCTTTACTGAAATGATTTGACATGCTCTTACCAACAAACAGCTGAATAATTGTTTTAGTTTTGCTCCACTTTTTCATTCCATAGTGATAGTCATGTACGAATGCTTGAAGACTGTGTCCAGGAAACAATTCATGAACATAATAAGCTGGCTGCAAATTCAGATCAGTGAGTATAATTCATAAACAAAATATTGCCTTTAACTTCATATTTTATGTGATTATTTTATGTGATGTGATTTCAGTGTGATTATTTGCAGGGTGTTTTTGTTTTTTTTTTTTTTGCTAGTACTAGGACTTGAACTCTGTTCCTTAGCTTTTTCTCTCAAGGCTGGGACTCTACTATCCCTCCACTCTGGCTTTTTGCTAGTTAATTGGAGATAAAGAATCTCATCGACTTTTTCTTCCTGGCTGGCTTGGAACTGAGATCCTCAGATCTCAGCATTCTGAGTTGTTAGGATTATAGGTGTGACCCACTGGTGCCCTGCTGAAAAAATTTTAATGTGATTATTATACTCCCTTGAATTCTGTTACTTGACTCAACAAATTAGTCTGCAATTCTAACTTGGATTAGAAACTTTGTTTCTATTTTTCTTGGTACTTTGGAAGTTACTTTTTTCACTCAAGAAAAGTGATCAGAAGGACAACATAATACATAAATTTTTAATGCGTATTTGTTTTGATGGCTCATTCTCACAGTTTGTGTTACAAATTTAGAAAATATGCAGATTGTTGGTGGCATTATTCAGTATGTACCAAACTAAAACGTAGCTCATTGCATTGTGTGATTTTTTTTTGTCTATACTGGGATTTGTAGCTCAGGGCCTTGCTCTTGCTAGGTTTGCACAATACCACTAAGCCATGCCTCCATCCCTGTTTCTCACTGGCTAATTTTAGGATAGAATCTTGTTTCCTGTCTTAGAGCACTTGAGCTCTGATCTTATGTTTCTGTGCTAACTGGGTCACAGACACTTGCCACTATGTCTAGCTGCCCTTCTATGGAGACAGTGCCGCAGGGACTTCTTGTCAGGCTCCACAGTACTCTCAATCTGAGCATCTCATAGAGCTTGGGATGACAGGTGCATGCTACTGTGTTCTGTTGTGGGTTGAGAAGGAGTCCTTTTTTGTGTGCTTTGGTCTTTAGATGCAGTGTTCTCATTTTTTACCTTCCAAGTACCTAAGATTGTAGACAGACTTGAGCCAGTGATATTTAGCTTGCACTGTGTGGATTTTTAAAAAGAAAAAAGCTACTGCAAATGAAAACTTTTTTTTCTATATCAACTCTATATTTTTTACTAGGTTTTCTGAAATTCAGTTATAACACTATACTCTTGTTGGTGTCAATGCAGACCCTTTAATCAGGAGCTCAGTGCAATAGATTACCCTCCATCTTCAGCCAACATACTCAAATAGTCCCCAGGTCATTTACATGTATAATTATTTACTATTCAGTGTTAATGCAAATGTAGTCATTATATACTCTTTGTAACTAGATTGACAATAATAATATTTGATTTTAGCCATATATTTTTAGTACAATAAGATTTTAATAGTTTACCTGCCTCAGTTCTTTAGAGAGTGTATATCTTTTTTTATCTTATGTAAAAAGTTTTTTTTAAAGTCTCATGCAGATTCAAAAATGTGAGTTGGTCTTGATTCATACCTACCCAGTTGGTGAGGACAGCCTTGTATCTGATCGTCCTAAAAAAGAAGTAAGTGTGGATAAGTGTTGGATGAGAAGATTATTATGGATTGTTATTAATGAATGTGGGGAAAACAGTATTAAAACGATGACATTGTCAATATTTTCTGCAAAATTTTCAAGGCAAACTTTTATGGCATACATCTCTGTTGGAACATAAGACTTATATTTGGAGATTTCCTCTGCTTCCCTAATGCTTATTTTAATGAAATGTTGTAGCAAACCTATGCACAGTTTGTGTTCTTCCTAAGTACTTTAGTGAACTTTAGTTACTTTAATAACTACTTTTATTATATGAAAATCTCTTTACCTTACTAGAAAAAGAATATACTCTAATAAAACTATACTTTGGTTACAAAGAAACTAATTTTGCCCATTTAGGGATGGTGAATAGACAAAACATATTTCCAACATTTACTATTTGCATGATAAATAAATTAACAATTTTAAAGCAAAAAATGATTTTCTTGATTGTTTTGGGGGTTTTTGTTTGTTTTTTTTGCCAGTTCTGGGGCTTGAACTCAGGGCATGGGCACTGTCCCTAAGCTTCTTTTTGCTCAAGGTTAGTACTCTACCACTTGAGCCACAATGCCACTCCTGCCTTTTTCTCTTTATGTAGTACTGAGGAATTGAAATGAATGCTAGGCAAGCACTCTACCACTAAGCCACATTCCCAGCCCAATTCTGTTGATTGTTAATTACCTTCTTCTCATGTCTGATGAGTTATCTTTCTTGGATACTTTTCTGTAGTTGTCCCCTGTTTTAACCAGTGAAGTTCACAGTGTTCGGGCAGGACGGCATCTTGCTACTAAATTGAATATTTTAGTACAGCAGCATTTCGACTTGGCTTCAACTACAATCACAAATATTCCCATGAAGGTAGGTGGTTCTGTTTCCTGTTACTTTGAAAGCTTTGCTTTGCTCTTAAAATATTTGTTTGACCTGTCATGCTCATTTTAATTTAATCTTTACTTTTTCTCTTTACTTTTATATTTTTTGTTTTGCTAGCCCACATTCAGTGTCTGTGACCAGGTCAGTAAATACTGAAAATCCACAAGAAAGGATCACAGAACAAAATGCTATACTTTTATTTCAGCTACAAACATGTAAAATAAAGAACAGTTGTGTTCTTGTTATTTTCATTAAAATATAGCCTGTATTTTAAATTCTTTTTCTGTGATTCTTTTTCTGAGGCATTAGATTTTATGCACTTACTGTATTCTAGTGAATCTTTCTGAAACTTTTGTTTATAACTAGGGAAGAAGTCATAGCTTCCAATTGGTTTATTTTATAGTTGAAAAACAAGAGATGCAAGTACTATGATTTAACTTAACAGATTTTCTTAGGAATCTATTGATTCCTGTTTACTTGCATTATATTAAGTTGTCTATTGTCACAGTGCTTGGCCATTGTAAGGTGTTAGAGTTGTTACTGAGTTGAATTGAATTTAACTGTATTGATTATACTCAAAATATAGAGTAGCCATTATACCTAAGCATTCACACTGATTTTGTTATACTACAGTTTCAGTTTAGGAGAGGTGGACAGGATGTTTCTGTGCAGTCCAATCTGGCCCTAAACTAATGATCTTCCCATCTCAGCTTTCTGAGGATAGTAATTATAGCTATGTGCCACGTTTGTTTTGGCATTAGTTATCAACATTCAGTTTTATGGGAAATATACTTCTTTCATTATTAGTTTCCTCCTAATTCTATAGGCTAGTTCCTTATTACAAATCTTAGGCTTGCCAGGCTCTGGTGGCGCACGCCTGTAATCCTAGCTATTCAGGAGGCTGAAATAGGATCGATGTTCAAAGCCAGCTCAGGCAGGAAAATCCATGAGTCTTATCTCCAATTAACTCCCAGAAAAATTGGAGTGGAGCTGTGGCTCAATGTGGTAGAGCTCTAGCCTTGTGCAAAAGAGCTCAGGGATGGTGCCCAGGCCATGAGTTCAAGCCCTACAACAATAACAACAGAAAGAAATCTTAGGCTCACACTGTGAGTCTCCCTAATGTAGAAGTAATTGACAAATAACATAAATGTACTTTAGTAGAGAGTTTTATAAGAAAATTACTATGAGTGTACTGATGACTTGCTTATTGTAACTGACATTTGTTTGCTTCTGGTGTGTTATCTTTGGCCTTTGTCCATTTAGGTAAATAGTGGTCAAGTTCTTATTTATTATGTGAAAACAAGATAGAAGACTTATTTATTAGTTTGTATTTGCTATTTTAAATGACATGTTCATTAATTTAGTGTAGATATTTAAAGATGCTTTTTCTCTTTTAACCATGATTTCACTTTCAGTTTATATAAATTATTTTCATTTTCTTATTTTGTGAAAAAATACATTAATGGGTAGAAAAGAAACCCCAAAATTTCTATATTCACTGTTACATAGTTACGTAAGAAATCTGTTAGCTTATTCTGTTGTATCTTTCAGTAGACAAATTACTGAAATAATTACCATTATTTTAGCTTGCTGTGGTTGAGTGTATTTGACTTCAGTTTAAACCAAAAAGCAAGATGAATAGTTAATTTCTTCATTTTGTAATCAAAACCAAGTTTTTGTGAATGTTTTAAATTTTGCTTGAAGGAAGAACAACATGCTAACACATCTGCCAATTATGATGTGGAACTGCTTCATCACAAGGATGCACATGTAGATTTCCTGAAGAGTGGTGAGTCATGGGAAAGAACTATTTTGAGTTTCTTTGTTTTATTTTCTCTTTAGTTTTAAAAAATTATCTTTAAGTAGTTGTACAGAGGGGTTTTAGAGTTCAAGATGTCTGTTTATGAGTATAATGCATCTTGATCAATATCACCCCTTTTATCATTCTCCCCCATCTTATTTGGCCTTACTCAGTCTCTATTTTTGTAGTTCCATTTTCACATATGTATAGTGAATATTGTGATTGCATTTCCCCACCCTTCCTCCTCTATTTGTATAATCCCCACCCTCTTGACCTCAAACCCCTTTACACCACCAGTTCTAACTGCTTGGTGTTCATTTTGTTAAACTATAAGCTGGCAAACCTGTGTGTGTCTTTTTTTTTTTTTTCCGGTTGATTGTGGGGCCTGAACTCTGGGCCTGGGCGCTGTCCCTCAGCTCTTTTGCTCAAGGCTAGTGCTCTACCACTTGAGCCACAGCACCACTTCTGGCTTTTTCTGCTTATGTGGTGCTAAGAAATCGAACCCAGGGCCTCATGCATGCATGGCAAGCACTCTACCACTGAGCCACCTTCCTAGCCCCTCTGTGTGTGTTTTGAGTTCACATTTGACGCTTATAAATTAGCTTCTAATCTAGCTCAAGTGATAGAGTAAGCTAGCCTTGAATTATAAATAGCCTTGAATTATAAATACTTCATCCAGTCCTAATATTCAAGGCAATTTTGAGATTTGAAGGTTATTTTCAAAAACCTTTAAGCCTTAATATTTGGCTGAATTCTTTACAATGATTTTTATGTAAATAGGAGCTGTCAGAGAATTAAATGATTGACTTTGGTCATGTGGTATGTGTTTGTTCTGAAGTGAGATAGTGATGGACCTTAGATATGCTTGTAATATATCTCAGAAATCTTTTTTTTTTGGGGGGGGGGGGTCTGGTCATGGGGCCTGAACTCTGGGCCTGGGCGCTGTCCCTCAGCTCTTCAGCTCAAGGCTAGTGCTCTACCACTTGAGCCACAGCGCCACTTCCGGCTTTTTTCTTTTTTCTTATGTGGTGCTGAGGAATCGAACCCAGGGCCTCAGGCATGCGAGGCAAGCGCTCTACCACTGAGCCACCTTCCCAGCCCCTATCTCAGAAATCTTGAAGTTCACCTACTAGTTTTAACAGAAGCAAAAATTATTGTGGTAAATATATATTAATGTTTAACAAAAGAATGTGGAAAACATTTTGAAAATGTAGTTCATGGAAATTGCTGAGGACCTGTGAGGCGGTTTAATCAATTTTGAAAACATATCCTTAGAAATAAAAATTATTTCTCTATGCCTCAAAGTAGAAGAGTGCTAGCTTTAAGCAAAAGAGTGTAGGGACAGTGCCCATGCCCCAAATTCAATTCTCAGGCCAGCAGAGAAAGAGAGAGAGAGGGAGGGAGGGGGGAGAGAGGAAGAGAAGGAGAGAAAGAGAGAGGGAGAGAGGAGAGAGGGAGAGAAAGGCTGTAATCTAAGGATCATGATTCCAAGCAAGCCTGGGCTGGAAAGTCTGTGAGACTCCCATCTCCAAGGAACTATTCAGAAAACATTGGAAGTGGTACTGTAGGTCAAATGGTAGAGTGAGCTAGCCTTGAGCCAAAGAGCTCAGGGACAGTGCCCAGGCCCTGAGTTCAAGGACCGGCCCCCAGGACTTGCCCCCCAAAACAGAAAAAAAAATATTTATATATAATTTTTATTTTATCATATATATATATTTCTCTAAAAGTCATGGTTCCCTTGGATGTAGTTGCATATGTTACAGCTAACACTGTAACATTCTGCAGCTTCAGGAACACAGGCAGCTGCATGTGGTTATTTACCTGTTTAAAGTCAGGGAAGTCTCAGTGAGCAGCAGGCTTATATCTCAGCCATTGGTTTCCCCAAAGCTCCAGATGTGTATATTCTACTGTCTAATTGTATTTAATATGTCTTAGGCATCTAAAACTCAGCACTCCCAGTATAATGTGAGCTCTCTTCCTGGAACTGGTCTTGAGATCTCCCTTCTTTGAGTGAATGACCCTCTTATCTTATACAGTACTATAGGGCAGAAGCCTCAAAATCATCTTTAAGACATCTGACTGGGGCTGGGAAGGTGGCTCAGTGGTAGAGCGCTTGCCTTGCATGCTTGAGGCCCTGGGTTTGATTCCTCAGCACCACATAAATAAAAAGAAAAAAGCCAGAAATGGCGCTGTGGCTCAAGTGGTAGCTCTAGCCTTGAGCTGAAGAGCTGAGGGACAGCGCCCAGGCCCAGAGTTCAGGCCCACGATCGGACCCCCCCCCCAAAAAAAAAAAAAAAAAGACATCTGACTGACCTGCTTCATATTTAATTCATCATCACATTTTTTCCATTACGTATCTCTCCAAAAATACACGCCCATTTGTATCTCCCCAATGAATCCTATTTTTACCTAGAATCTCATAGTAGCTTCCTACTTAGACCTTTTGTATCCAGTCTTCTACTTTCAGAACTTTAATCCTGACTATGTGTCCTTTAGCTTTTAAAATCCTCCAATGGGCTGGGAATGTGGCTTAGTGGTAGAGTGCTTGCCTAGCATGCATGAAGCCATGGGTTCAATTCCTCAGAAACATGAAGTGGTGCTATGGCTCAAGGGGTAGAGTGCTAGCCTTGAGCAAAAGAAACTCAGGGACAGTGCCCAGCCCCTGAGTTCAAGCTCCAGGACTGACTAAATAAATAAATAAATAAACCCACCAATGCTTTCTGCTGTTCCTAGGAAAGTCAAGACTGTTAGATGTCTTATAAGGCCATGTGTTGTCTGGCCCCTTATCTCATTTCACAGCTTTCTCCTCTGTGCCTACGCTTTGCGTACCTGTGTGGCTATATGCTCCCTTTGCCACAGAATCTTTAGTCTGTTGTTCCTTTTGCCAGAATACCTTTGCCTCCCTTTCTTTAGTTAATGTCTATGCATCCTCTTAGAAGTCAGACCTATCTTTACTCCTCAAGAAAGCTTGTAGGAAATGGGTCAGAGCTTTCTCTTAGACATGTTCTTATCCCTGCACGTATTCAAGACTTTGTTGGTTTTTTGCTCTACATGTGTTGTTATCACTGGAGGAATATCTATGAACTGTGCTTTACTTTGGTTTCCATGAAGAGCAGTCACAATTGTATTCTTTGTGTATTTGTTTCCTGGACCCTTTAGCTAATGTTGTTTCTAAATAGATTAAGAGTCAGTATAGTTAGTTGTGCATTTAAAATTTAAGTCTTCTCTGAGTACTGAGCCATGCTATTTCATTATTTTAATGTTATGGTCAGGAAGAAATACTTGAAATTAAAAAAAATTGCTATTGACTGTCAGCATGGTAAAGTTAATGATTATTTTAATGAAAAAGTTGGAGGGGAATTATAACCTTTAGTCATAGTTAATATCCATGCTCTTTGGCATTTCTTGTTTTTTTTCTTTTGGTCCAGTTGTAGGGCCTGAACTCTGGGCCTGGGCGCTGTCCCTCAGCTCTTCAGCTCAAGGCTAATGCTCTACCACTTGAGCCACAGTGCCACTTCCGGCTTTTTTTCTTTTTACTTATGTGGTGCTAAGGAATTGAACCCAGGGCCTCAAACATGCAAGGCAAACGCTCTACCACTTAGCCACCTTCCCAGCCCAATAACATTCTTCTTTATGTCTGAATAATTCATTGTGTGTGTGACCTATGTACACATGAGCATGTAATACATATGCACACATATATGTGTATATGTATTCATATTATCTGAATACTTCAGTATGTGTACATACTTGTCATATTTTTTAATCCATTCATTAGTTAATGGATACTTAGGTTGATTCTATAACTTGGCAAATGTGAATAGTGCTGTTATGAATATGAATATACAGATACTTGTAATGTATGCTAACTTGCATTCCTTCACATATATGTCCAGGAATGTTTTTACTTTCTTGAGGAATCTCTATACTGATTTCCATAGTGGAACATTGTATAGTTTCTGGTTTTGTTTTGTTTCCTGCATTCTTTTTGTTTTTTGTTTTTTGGGTTTTTTTTTGGGTCTGGTCGTGGGCCTGAACTCTGGGCCTGGGCGCTGTCCCTCAGCTCTTCAGCTCAAGGCTAGCACTCTACCACTTGAGCTACAGCGCCACTTCTGGCTTTTTTCCTTTTTGCTTATGTGGTGCTGGGGAATCGAACCCAGGTCCTCATGCATGCAAGGCAAGCGCTCTACCACTGAGCCACCTTCCCAGCCCCCTGTTTCCTGCATTCTTGTCAGCAGGGTTGTTTACCTGCTACCCTATTGTGTGAGATGGAATTTTATTGTTGTGTTGATGCGTATTTTCTTTATATCTATGGATGCTGAAAATTTCTTAATGTGTTTTTTCCTCTTCTTTTTTTTAAAAACATTTTTTAGCCAGTTTAATAACTGGCTTATATTCTTAGGGAATTTAAACTTCTCAGCTCTTTATGTATTCTCAGTATCAATCCCTTGTCAGATGAATACTTTGTAATGATTTTTCTTCCATTCTGTAGGTGGTTTCATCACTTAATATTTTCTTTAATGTACAGAAGCTTTTTCATTTTGATTCAGTCTCATTCATCAGGTTCTTGATCTTGTTTCTTGAGCTATTAGGTAGTGTTCAGGAGATAGTTGCCTTGCCTCTATTTTGAAGTGGTTTCTCTATATATTTTTCCTCTAGTAATTCAAGCCTTTTGGGTTTTTTTTTAATTGTGAAAATCTTTCGGATCTTATATTAAGGTTTATGATCCATTTTAGATTGTTTTGTGCAGAGAGAGAGATGAGGCTCTAGTTTTAGCCTTCTGCATGTGGTCATCTAATTTTCCCAGCACCATTTGTTGAAGAGGCTGTCTTTTTTTTTCCTTTTTAATATTTTTTATTGTAAAGATACTATACAGAGGGGTTACAGTTGCATGAGTAAGGTAATGAGTATATTTCCTATCATGCATTTTTACCCACTCCCTTTTCCCCTACTATCCTTTGTCTCCCCAACTCCCATATTCCTCCCCC